CTCTCTCTCTCTCTCTCTCTCTCTCTCTCTCTCTCTCTCTCTCTCTCTCTCTCTCTTCTCTCTCTCTTTCTTCTCTGAGTTTACTTGGCTGAATATGTTCAGGGTAGGTAATTGTACGTAAACAAGCTTGGAGTTTATGTATCTCAGGATGCGTTGGGACTGAGCAAATTGGTTAAGAGCAAGGTAGGGTAGCTGTGGGGGTAGTGACCTTGAATGGATGGGATTAAGAGGGGTCGAGTTGTAAGCATCGTTTTAGTGTATTTCTCGATGAGAAGCAGGTAGACGTTAGCAGAGAGTTATACTCTCTGTCCGGACCCCAGCAATGAAGGACATGGATGAAGGAGTACTTGCAAGTGATATCTCCATACAAAGCATTCCATGTTTGCTAAGTTGCCCCTGCATCACCGCCCTGAACGGCCATATACCCATGAATTTGAACGACCCGGGCCCAACTGCTGGACATCAAAGTGTGACACATTCGCTTCCCATAAATGATCAGAGACAGGAACTTCCATAGTGACGTGTCTTAGTTCGTGGACTGCCCAAGTAGTCATCAACTCAACATACAACGGACTAAGGGAATTGCCCTGTAGTTGCTTTATTTTTTTTCGGTAATCACCGCCGCCGTGATGAAGCTAGATAGTTGGCAACAAGAGCATCCAACTGCTGAGGATCTTGGCCCAAGACACGGAGTTCTTTGATGACGTTCTTGAGCGTGTAATGGTTAATATTGGCAAAGAAGGGGAAAAAAAAGATGTAATGGAAGATACATACAGCCAAAGCCTCCGGATTGACGCCGTTCTCAATCATGGAGATACAGATAGAAAGAGTGCGCCGGTCCAGGTGACAGTTCTGTTTGGGATGGGCCTCGTGTCAGCTGCTGTTGGTGTGCTCTACCTTTCAAGGGACATAACGGTTAAGACGCACCAGAATGGTGGCAATCTCATGCAAAATATCGACTGCCTGCTGAGCGGCAGCCTGTTTCTCTGCCCGCTCGCTGGGCGGCATTTTAGGCAGGCATGTGAGGTGTGTTATTCGAAACTTGTGTGGAAGTAAGGCGAAGATGAAGGATGGGTGTTTGCTCGAGGTGAGCGGGCAAAGTCGCAGGTGCGCGTGCCGAGCGAAGCGTGGAGCGCGTTTAATTGGCGGGGCTCGAACAGCAATCAGTCAAGTCCCTACTTTTTCACTCAAAGGATATAGATAGAAATATGAACTGCAAAAACGGAACATTGAAACCTCTGAAAACTCGGCAATGAATTGAATCAAACAGATTGTCAAGATGAAAATGTGCACATTCTTAGCACTTATACGCCAAACGCCGTGGTAATGCCGCCCCAGAAACCCGTATCCTAGACCTGCCCTCCCAGCCCGAACAGTAGTCGTAATATCATGTCTGGTACAGAACAAATATAACCCATATCGCCTAAAGTCTTCTTCAAGCCCTCATAACCTCAACAAAGAGCTCCCTCATACCCTTCAGCAGTACGACCAACTCCCTCGTCTCATTCACTCTCTCCAGCACCTTCTCAACCTTCTCCCTCTCCAGCTTCGGCCTGCAATGCTTCACATTGTAATCTCGACCGCCCATGCACAGCTCAAACCAAGCCTCGCGATCCCAATCGCGCTCATCGATATGCGTGTAAACAAACTTCAACCTGTCTGGCGCGCCAGCACCCTCGATGCGCAGACACAGGTTCGTCACCCAGAAATCAAGCTCGGGCACGTTGTAGCGAGCTTGTTCCTCCAGCCGAGCGGCGTGTGCCCGCTGCGCGGCAAGTCGCGCATCAATCTCACGTTGCGCTGCAGCGATCTGCTCTTTCAGCGCGTCGCGCTGGGCTAGTTGTCTGTCGCGCTGTTGCGTGAGCTGCTCGATCGCTTGCTGCATTTCGCGTGTCTCTGCGGCTTCTTTGGCAATGGTTTGTTGGTAGGTGTTTGTCTTGAGCTGGATGATTTCGATGTCCTTTTTCTTCATGCGCTGGTCCTCTGTGGGAAGGGGTCAGCTAGCGTTTGATTCCCGCAGGCGAAGCATCTTGCGTACCCTGAAGCTCAGCAATGTTCATGCGGAACTCGTTTCTCTCCTCTAGCACACGCTTGCGTCCCTGCTCGATGAAAGCGTCGAACTTGGCTGTGAAGCGGGCCATGCGCTCGCGCAGCTCGTCGAAGCCGAAGTTGACTTTCGGGAGCGTGTCGGCGAGCGACTGGCTGCCCAGTGGAGGGCGGCTGGTCGACATTGACGGTTCAAACGACGACATATTCATCTTGACTGCTTTCTATTGTTGTGTCTTGTAGCGAAGCTGATTTCAGCGCAACAACAGTGAGGATGGTTGGTGATGGCGGGGTGACAGATCAGATTGATGATCGCATTGGATTGTTTATCCGCTTTCCATCTTCAGTAGTTTCCCAGGGAATGTGCCAAGACCAGCTAAGCGCACGGGGTGGTGGTTATTTGTGATTGGCTTGTGAACTGTCCAGACCCACAAAAAAGTTAATCCTACTGTGTATCGAGGTCTTTGCATATGGCCTGTGCAGCTTTCATCCCGCCAACTCATTAACTTTCATCAACAAACGGCCAGTCTTTTATCGACTTAACGACCAATTGCCTGAGCGCACTTTGATCTCATTTTTCAACTGATTCTTTATCTGGTCTCACTGACAGACCTGTTCTTTTCATCCATAATATTCAATGCTGCGCACCTCCTTGCCGCAGCAACCAATTTTGACCGACTTTTTCGTCCTTGATCTCATCTGAAGAATCTTGAACCGACTCCAATCTGCCCGCTCAGAGCAGGGAGAATGATCCTGATCGCGTCTCACCTTCGGCCTCCTACGAGCAAAGCAGATCCAAATGGATGATAGGCGTCATGCCGTCCCGGCTGCTAGCCGCGCTAAGGCTCGCCGCCTGCGCCCGGACGGCATTCTGGGCCGTTTGACTTACGCTCCAATTGCTCCAGGCGAGGAAATCGGAGAGATGCGCCGAAACCGCGCTCATGGCGATGTTCCTCATTTCAGGCAGGTCACGCCCTTCACCCTATGGTGTGCCCCCGCCATCAGCTCGGCTCCCCAACCCGGTGACCTCAGACCATGGGAGATGGTGAGGAGTCAGAGCAACTTCCTCCTTGAGAACTTTCCCGAGGCCGCTATCATCGATGACAGTGTCGAGTCGCTACTCCTGCATGAGATAGTCGCCTCGCAACCTCATATGAAGAGGCAGACACCCCCATCACACTCACCCTCTATGTTGGCTGTCGGCGAAATCACCGATCTGAGAAACCCTGACCTGCCGACCAAGGGCCATCCGGTGCTGGCCGCCGCGTCCGGGATTGCAGGCAACGTTTTGTGCTTAATCAGCCTAGCTCGCGAGGAATGTACCTGGACCGACCCAGATATCAAGGTTCGCCAGTATGCGCCGCATCCACAAATCGAGGGCGTATGGAGCCAGAGCGAGGTTCCAATCACTCTGATCCGTTTTCCTGTCGACCTGAAAAAGGGTGATCCAATACGTTGGCTGATTGTCCAAAATGGCAACTCGACGACCGTCTACGAACCGGAGCTTCGCAGCATCCCAATTGCGACAGGTTACGGTTCGACAGTTACGCAGGTCTTCGCCAACCCTCTGTTTACCATTCCTTCCGATGCTACTGGAGGAGCCATGCACTGCGACGCCTGTGTCATGCGAGATCCAGAGACGGATGTGCCCATGCTTGCTGTCATCGACCAACTTGGCCACTGGAGCATCTTCGAGATCAAAGGTCGACGAAGCGCAAGGCCGAAAATACTGACTCCGGTTTCCATTATGCGTGGAAATTGCCTTATGGGATCTATTTCGAAGCATCCTGCCATGCGTATCCCTAAGGACCCGGTGCCCCACAGGGTCTTGTTCATGACTGCAGAAGTGAGGAATAGAGGTGGCTCGAAAGCCATGAGCAAAGCGAAGTCCGAGAAGTCGGAGAAATCTGTGTTTGAGGAGAAGCACAGGCGGCCAATCCTTTTGCTCTGCAACCCACAAGCCCTCAGTCTGTTTAATACTGCCACAGGGAAGTTTTATGTTGCTTCTCATGTGGTGCTAGCAAAGGACACCCAGCGTATCCTCGCCGTGGAGCCATCCAAGATCGATCCGTCGCAGGCTTTCATTCTCACTACCACATCCGTCTTGTGGGTGGCGGTGAAGGATAGCAGGAAGCAGGGCCTGACTCTAGAGGTTCTTGTGTCGTGCGCTCACCAGAAGGATGCCAACGACCCGACTCTGCGGCTCGACGTCTCGCCAGCGGCATACTTGGGTGGCACGAAAGCCTGTTTTGTCTGCGTTAGGTCTGCCAGAGAGAGCGAGGTGACGGTATTTTGGTTCATCTATCCGCAGTCAGGCCTTCCTGCTCGCTACCACCGCAGTGTAATTCAACTTCGCGGTCCGCCTGGTGTAGTCTGGGTGCACATCCATCCGTTAGGGCGGCGAGTGGGGTTAGAAGAGCCTGCGTCGGAGACCGGTCTTGCGCTTCGCAGAGCCCAGTTGAGGTTCTTCCAGATCATGACGCTGGGGCACGACCTTGATATTCATAGTACGCTGTGTGCCTGGTCGGACGATGCTGGTATCTCGGTTCCCCCTCCTGATCACAAGGAGATATTGGACGATAGCGGTACCCATCGTCACAAGTTGTTGCAAACCCTGACCAGCGCGTTTGTGGTGCCGGATGGCTTTGATGAGCGGTTTGTGTTTCAGCAGAAGAAGGAGCTTCAGGTTCCTTCGTCACCACACAACAACAAGGCGGTTGAGAGGCAGTCTCCAGTCGACCTGAGCTTTGTTGCAGAGCGTTTGCTGTCAACAGGATCGAGGGATGAAGCGATGTACGAAGATCACAGTATGGCTGAGGAGGTAGATTTCAGCTTTATAAGCGAAGTGATTCAGCGGGGAAGCGAAGAAGGCTACATGCCACGCCAATCATTGTATGTGCTCCTTTACCCATTGGTTCTACAGCGACCTTACTGACGCCTTCAATTTAGACTTGACTTAGCGGTGTCTCATCTCCCGGGGGACCTTTTCCAGTTAGCCCGCGAATGGGATATTCAACGCGAGGCTATCCAGCGTCGTACTGGTGAGCGACATTTCGTCCCCGAAGCTCGGCCTCCAATCATCCACTTCGGTCCAGATGATTTGTTGGAAAGGCTTCAGGAGATGTTCCCCGAGTCTTCAAACAGCGGACAGTCTGCTACCCGGGAAAAGGTTTTGCAGGACATGGCCGCCGAATTATACTTCGCAAGTATCGGCATCTCAGCTGTGCCAGAGGCATGGACCGCTCCACCTGGCAAGCTGCTCAGTTCGCAGCCATTTCCTAGTTCGCCGACACTACTGTTTTCGCAGCCCAGTCTCTTCAGTCCGACCAAAATCAGTTCGTCATGGAAGGGTAAGGCCAAGGCTACTTCCGACGATTCGTTGGAAGAACAGCCACAGGGAGACACCGTGGTTCTTCGGCTGCGCAAATATGCGACCATCAACACATCCGACACTGCCAACGGGGAGCCAGAACTCAATCTGTCCCGTTGGGACCTTGGCGTGGATCCAGACAAAATTACATGGCGGCCTGGTCAGGATCTGGAGGCTGAGGCTGCACTGGAGAGACGCATCTCAAAGCGTGAAGCTCGTCGCAGGAAGGCAGAGCGCCTGTCGCAAGCCATTCTGGGTCGTGACTCGTTTGGAGGCAGGCTGTCAACCTCCTCACAGATACTCCCATCAAGCCAGCAGCCGATAATCATACCAACAAGCCAACCTTCAATAGTATCATCGCAGCGGCTGCCTCCTTGGGGAGACATGGCAGCAGCCTCGCAGCCTGTCCTCGGGGCATATGGTTCACCCATTAGGATGCGGGCTGGATCACCCCTAAGGAAGGAGTATCGCCCTCCAAGGGACTCGTTGGGCTCAGAGTTTGGGTCCCAATCCCAGTCACAATTGCAGTCTCAGGACACGCCGTCGCAACAGGTGCGGTCGCAAGTGTTAACAGGAATTTTCGGAGGTCGAAGACAGTCATCGCCGTTTAAGAGAGTTGTGTCGCCACTTAGGAGGCCACGTCTCCCTCCGTCGCCGCTGAAGCAGCCAAAGAGAAAGAGCGATATTCGGTTGAGCGGGTTTCGATGAGAAGTTCAGGGAGGATAAAGGGGTCACAAAGGCTTTTGGGCATGTGTGATGGAGTAATGTGATAACAATGAGATGGTGTAGTCATTAGTTGTAGTGAACATGAATTTTGAGATTACAAGATTGGACGAATTTCTTTGTCTGAATGCCAGGTGATTTTGACATATGGATGGTTTTGTCAAAAAGCTTGCCGTATTTTTGTGTGGCGTACCTGGATGCTCGAAAGCGATTGTGGGACGTCTCGTCTTGAGTTCTCGGGCTCCTCCACTCAAGTTGACAGCACATCAGATGAACTCCTCGCTCACTTTTACGCCTTAAATAACCGTCACATTCCATGCATCTTGCCCTTGACACCACCATCGTCAGCAACCCTTTTAACGAAATAATGCATTGAAACATCCTCACCTCAAGCATTCAAACACAAGCCCCTGCAACCAATCACCTATCGCTCTTCGTCAGGAGAAAATGTCCCACCATTGCCACAACGAGCATACCCACACCTGCGGTGGGGATGGCCACGACCATCATGAACATGACCACTCTGATGACATTACTCCCGCATTGCAGTTCTCATTGTACCAGCACATCGATTTCGACCAGATTGTTACGTTGAATGAGTCAGAGCACGGATCCGGCAAGGCAGTCGTCAAAAAGACATGGGCCGAGCGCATGAACCCGGAGCCCGAGGTCGCTAGCGATGCAGATGAGGAGTTGATTATTAATGTGCCGTATGTGCACCCTTTTGTGTTAAATTTTAGTTGGGAGACTGGGTTCTTTGGGGAATTGTGATGAGACTGGTCAAGGAGCGATGGAAGAGATGTAAATGAGGAAGAGGCCTGACATCGAGCAGGTTCACCGGCCAAGTCAGGCTGCACTCCATCCTGCTGCGGACAAGCGACTCAGAGTCGGCGCCCAAGACGCTCAAGGTCATCATCAACCGCGATGATGTTGACTTTGCTTTTGCGAGCGAGACTGATGGAACTCAAACCTTTGAGCTGGCCCGCACGAATGAGGTTCAAGAGCTGCCAGTGGTATGTCCTGCTTCTTCCCTCCCCACCTCTCCATCCTTCCCATACCTTCTAAACCATATATGGATATGATCCTAATTATCCATCCAGCGCCGAGCGCGCTTCAACGCCGTCCGACGCATCGCGCTCTTCTTCCCCGAGAACTTTGGCGATGGCGATGAGGACACCACACGCATCAGCTACATTGGTTTCAAAGGCGAGTGGATGCAACTCGGTCGTGCGCCGACTAATATCATCTACGAGGCGGCTGCCAACCCAGGGGATCACAAGATCAAGGGGACGGAGGTCAATCAGATGGGGCACAGCATTGGGGGTAAGGGGCCGGATGTTTAAATCGGGTGAGCCAAACCTTTAGATGAGTGTTAGGTTGTTTTTGTCTGATGTTGGGCTTGGTTTACATCGATGAATGCATGAGCGGATAGCCTGTTCGGCGGAGATTTGATGGATGAGGAACTTGTGCTTTTTTTTTGTTGTGTGTGTGTACGTGTGTGCTAGGATTTTAGGGGAAAGAGTAGTCACATGAAGTCCTCCTCCCAGTTTTCATCCCGGTCCTGGTTGCTGGACCCGGCCATGTTTTCCTCCGTGAAGAGGTCATCATAGGCGTGCTCTTTCTGCCACTTGAGCTGGGCGCGCTCCCGGGCGATACGCTGCTCTTCCTTTTTCTTTACACGAGTTAGTAGTTGCCATAGCTCTGATAATAGAAGAGTTACACACCCTCTCGAGTTGGGCAGCACGGTCCTTCTTGCGCAACTCGCGCAAGTGGTCGTCCTTTTCCTGTTTCAGGTCCGGGAACTTCTCGACCTTGGTCTTGTTGAGCCGGTTGATGATGGGATTCTCGCGGGTTGGGACGAGTATCCTCTTGACCTGAAAGCTGTTAGACTTGGAGCCCAAGACAAAGGGTTAAAAGTTCGGTACCTTCTTCGGGTCCTTGAAGCCGACCTGGCCCACATCCATGCTGCCATCCTTCCTCAAGTTGGACCACGGTGTGTAAATGACGGTGATGTTGTCCTTTTTGTTGCCTGCATGGGTGTCAATACCGAACATCTTAGCAACCAGATTCGAGTCAGGTACCTTCAATCGAGTTGGCCTTGGTCAACTGGGCCAAGTCGTTGAGCAGCTCTTGCGGCAGGTTATCCCATGACTGGCCTTCCTGTAACCTGAGGTAGATGTGGGCGCTTGAGAGCTTGTCGACGTGGAACTGTAATGAATGACATGTAAGCTGGGTTCATTCGTATAAGTGGTATGGGATGGCGGGCAGGTGTGAAGTGTGAATAGGGGTTTGAGATAGGGTTCAGCGAACATACCCTGCAAGATGTCAATTCAAGTCCCCGAGGTGTGAACAGAAGTCCTTACCAGACATCCTCCTCCCAGCCATATTTGATCAAGTCCTCATCTATAGAGAAAACAGGTTAGCTTGGCTCGTCTCATCGCTATCACGCGGCTCACTCACTCTCAAACTTGTCCTTGCCCACATAGATGAAGGCAGGGGGATCAACCACGTTGGAGGTGAAGTAGTAGACCATTTTGAAAATGCGGAAATCAATGCAGCTTTAGGCAAGATATCGGTACTAAAAGATACTCAAGCTCTTGAGTCAACACTTTGTGTTCGCGTTTGCTTATTGCTAGGTAAGCTGGCTGCAACCCTGGACCGAGATGTGTGAAGGACCGCTGCAGGTGTGGAGGTCAGCTTTCCAGGGTTAGGGTTGAAGAGATCAGCCTTATGGATGCCCCACCGAGAATTCCCCAGACCCCAGCACAGACAACATCAGCGAATGGCAAGAAGGTCTCGCGGCACTCAAATTTCTGCAGCCATTGACCCGACGACATCCTTAACAACGACGACGACAGCGCGCCCCCGCCGTCGACGACGCCGACCCGTCTCCACTCCCATCGTCGTGATCAGCCAATGTGAGGGGCGCCAACTGATTCGACCTTTGGACGGGCGTACACTCGAGTCAACGAAAAACATCGAACCCCGCGGCACACAACCATCAACAACGATAACCGAGTCAATCCTGATAAAAGCCTCCTAAATTCCCCGTCGACATAATGGCCCCCCGGCTGCCAGCTCGCTGCTGGCGGCAGCTCTCCTCGCCGGTGACCAATGTGCCTGCCTTCCGGCCCTCCGCTGCCCTCGTCCTGTCCCGGCCAGCACCGACCTCCCTCCTCACAAACCAGGCCGTCCGGGCACTGACAACGACAACCGCCCTCTCAAAGCGCGAGGGCTGGAGCACGCTCGCCCGGCGCTACAGGCCGACCCGCTTCAACCAAGTAACTGCCGGCCTGCCGGCCCCGACAACGGGCCCCGCGGCCGCACTCAAGCGCAAGCACTTCCCCCTGCGGACGGGCGTGCTCGCGGTCAAGAAGGGCATGACGGTGTTCATGGGTCGGACGGGTGCGCGGATTCCGTGTACCGTACTGCAGATGGACCGGGTGCAGGTGGTGTTCAACAAGACGCGCGAAAAGCACGGGTACTGGGCCGTGCAGGTCGGCCTGGGCGAGAAGAACCCGGCTAACGTCACGCGCCCGCTGCTTGGTTACTATGAGGCGAAGGGTATCCCGCCAAAGGAGTACTTGGCCGAGTTCCGAGTCAAGGACGAGAGCGGTTTGCTGCCTATTGGTGTGCAGCTCATGCCGGACTGGTTCTATGTCGGTCAGCGTGTCGATTGCCGGTCGTACTCCAAGGGCCAGGGCTTTGCTGGTGGTATGAAACGCCACGGGTTCTCCGGTCAGGAGGCCAGTCACGGTAACTCGCTGAACCACAGAACCCTTGGTTCGGTTGGTGCGTCGCAGGGTGCCGGTTCCAGAGTGCTTCCCGGCAAGAAGATGCCCGGGCGGATGGGCAACCAGCGCGTGACGGTGCAGAACCTGCCTATTCTGATGGTCGACAATGATCTGGGCATCATCGTGGTGAAGGGTTGCGTGGCGGGTAAGAAGGGCTCGATCGTGCGCATCTCAGACGCCATCAAGAAGCCGCCACCGCCGAAGGAATGGATTGAGAAGACTCGCAAGCAGCTGGAAGAGCGCTTCCCGCATGCCGAGGAGGCCCTTGAGGCTGCTCGCAAGCGCCATCTGGAGCTTAAAGCTGCTCGTCAGGAGAGGAGGATAGCTGAGCTGCTTCAGGAGGGCATGAGCAGCCCCAACGAGGCGCACGCCTTGATCATCGACCGGATTGAAGCCGAGGATGCGGCTCGCGATCAGGAGTGGCAAGCTTATTCTGAGCAGGTTGCGGCTATTGCCGAGCAGGAGGTAACAAAGGCTCAGGTTAAGGCTCAGACCGAGGGCCAGCGTCAACTTGCGTAAACTTGGGCGGGTAGATGGGAAGGAGATGGGGTGGTATCTGTGTTTCTATCCATCATGTTGTTTCCCTCTTGTATCATACAATACCTAGATATAAATGTACAAGTAACGCCACAGTTCTCTTTCCCCAATTGCTCCCACATACATCATTCATACCTTTGGCCTCTGCCTGAAGCCCCTAGTCGTCTGCTTCTCCTCCTCCTCATCCGCATCCAAATCGAATGTCCCGCCGGAAATAATCGCCCGGAACGGGTCACCATCCTCCAACAAATCAATCACTTGCCCATCCTCCGTCTGCAGACTCCATTCCGTCGTCTCGAACAAGCCGCGCGGCGTTGGCCGCTGACTGGCGAAGCGCATGACGCCACGGGCCTTAGTACCGCGCACGCGGAAGCTGATGTCGATGCGCCCGCGCACCTGGTTCATCTCGCCCGAGATCCACGGGATCTGCTGGTCGAAGTAGATGTTGTCGCCCAACACAGCGCGCGCCTTTTCGTTTGTGCGTAGCGCGTACAGCGTCGCTCCCACCACGGGCGACGAATACTTTTGGTAGTTGAAGATGGCGACGGAGGCTGCCGCGATGGCGAGCAGGAACCAGGGGAGGGTTTTGGCCCAGCGGTTGCCTTCAATGGCTTGGGAGAGGTTAGTACGGAGTGGTAGGTTGGATGTAAGGCTAGGGTAACGTACCTGGCAGCTCCCGGTCGGGCCGCCTCTCCAGCAGGACAGTTCCAGGCTTCGGAGGCGGTGTTAGGAAGCGCCGTTGCTGGTGCCGAGGGTGTTCCGGGCTTTGGCTCTTCTGGAGCTCTGTGAGAATTGGCCTGGTTGCTGGCAACGAGACGGTCGCTATTCTTCTTCGCAGCAGGGCAGCAGCAGCAAATGCTGCTGGGGCGCCCGCCCTCTGCTGTGCTAGCTTTGACAGCATGGCGCGGGGTGATATGGGCTGGCTTTAAAGCTCGGGGTGATAAAACTGGTGATGGTGAGTAGCCCACTTCTCGAACGTCGCTCGCCTCGGTTGAACGGTGCATATGATAAGAAATGCGATTAGAAGGTAATTGAGCTTCGATAGCTTCATGCCAGTCTTGGCAACTGTCCGGTGAGCGAGCAACCCCTTTTCTCGGCGTGAACCCTCAACCCCGTCGTTCTTTGTTGACATTATTTTGATTCGAACTTTTGATCCATAGCTTCAGCTATGAATCTGTGAATAATAATGTTATGGAATTCCATCTGTGTTTGCGGATTTGCTCGAGAGTCGACCCCTCTTATCACTTGCATTGTCGCTTGCATCGCCAGGCTGTTGCCCTGTTGTACAACCACCGGTGCGATTTCCTGTCTCCGATTTATTGATCATCTATTTTTGCTTCTTCGTACAGTAGATGAGGCTCAAATACTTGTCAGCTGCTGATGGTTGATCACGGGTGGCTGTTCGTTTGGGCTGAGTCAGACCCGCCCTCTTGATGTTCAGGGTTGGACAGCAGCAAGTAATGTGAAGATTCCATTCGTCTAGGCTAATTTGTGAGTAGACCATGCTTACCGCTGCCTACTTCTCTCAGTTCCAATTCTTCACTATTTTTTCGCACATCACCGGTTGTCACAAACAAGCAAAAATGGAAATTGTTGGGCTCAGCCAAGGCTGTGCCCAAAGAATATGAAGTGGACTCGCTCATGTTGTCCACGCTCCATGTTTAAAGAACTGTGCTCCGATAAATACTGTCAGTATATATGCTAAGAGCCTGTGCCAAGCTAGAGCTTCGCGGCTCTTGGATGGAACCGACGGCATCTCTCAAATATCTCCGCGTTCAGAAGCTTGCGAGGTTTCTTTGTCTTGATGCTCGGCTCGTGCTCCCGTGAAGGTTCGTCAAAAACAACTATCTTCGGCACTTTGATCCAAATCTCTTTGCTGTGCAAGGCCACTAAGTCCGGAATTCTGGGCCTCTCAAACACCTCGAGTAACGGAGACATTCCAGCGCCCCTGAGCTATTCAAACTCTCCCTTATCTCTGAGCCAAGATGTCATCCACAGCCTGCCGCTCCCGCGCTCTCCTCCCATGGATCTCGCTCGCGACTTTCCTCCTCGCCGCGGACGCGATCGTCTCGCTGGCGCTCGTCTCTTCCATGGTTGCCTTCCTGCACGGCTTCGGGCGCGGTCCATTCCATGTCGTTGCCCCTGACGACGACGGCTCTGGCTCTAAAGCCTTCCTCTTTTCCGGCGAGCCAGTCCATCTCGTGACAAACACAGGCCATGTTACCAACGGGGCTGGCGGGACTGCCCTGGTGCTGGTCGGATTTGGAGGACTGATTGCATTGATTGTAGAGTGGAGGTCTAGGGGGAGGGATAAGGTACATTCCCCTTCTTCTACTTTCAGGATATACCAAATAACTAACACCTGCAACAGCTTTACCTTTTCTCCTCTGTCATCTACTCCCTCTGGTGCCTGATCGCCCTCCTCAGCCTGCTCTTGACCCTCGCGGCCTTGGTTTACGCCGTCGTCGAGACACGTCTCACCTCGTCCGGCCCTGGTGGTCACCAGCCAGGCATTGACCTGCTAATTGCATACGAGCACCAATATCCCCAAAAGTACCCTGATGGAAAATGGACCCCCGAGACATGGTACACGGCACTGTTGAGGGATGTGCCCCTTGGGGGAGAGCTGCCAGTCGCGGAGCACACGAAGCGAGTGATACGGCAACATTTGAGGTTAATGAGGGCGTGGCGTTGGAATCTGATTGCGTTGTTCGTGTTGGGGTTAATCTTAGTGGTTCTTCTTGCTGTAGACATACTCAGGGGGAGGAAGAAGGGGGAGAAGTGAGGTGGTGGGTTTGAAGCAGCACGAAGAGGTAAAATGTTGCAACTAAAAAAAGCTGTTGATGGTGATGATTCCATGGTTGGGGAATGCATCTGGCATGAAGAATGCACCTATTCTCTGCGTGTTCAGGCGTTAGGGTCGAATCTTGGGACTTATATCCCAAGCAAAGCGACATTTCATACTGTGACCCAGCCGCTTATATAATTTGATAGCCGAATATCAATGCATTAAACCACCACAATGCCTACGCCAAGGCCCCGCTTGCGTGAACCACAACGTCATCGCTCCATGCAAACTGCGCTTGGTGGCCCCTCAACTCCTTTCGTCAACTGAACCTGAACAACGGACCCAGCTTTCAAACACCTGCGTTAACTGTAACTTCATCATGACTACCCGTCTGCGCCGACCCTTCCACTATAGTGACGAGAATGATGATGATGATTTGTCCATACCCTCTATTCTCGACGAGCAAGGTACGAACCAATCCTACTCCTCTCACACCTTTCCTAACCTGCAGCTTCTCTCCCATAAATTTCAACATCCTGCCCCCTTACCCCCGGACCCTTCTCCATCTAAACTCCGATTCAAACTAACCCCCCTCCAAACAGAACAGGAATCCCTAATCCAAACCCTCGCTACCCAAAACGAATCCCGCAACATTTCCTTCCATCGCGTCCTCTTCTTCCTCCCAACCCTCGGCAGCATCCCTTTTTTTATCCACCTCCTCACCATCCTCTTCAGCAGCCGGCACACACACCTCGCCCCATTTCCCCTCATCCTCCTCGCCCTGACCTCACTCGGCTCAACCACATTCCTTCTGCTCCGGTTAGGTAGGACAGAGACGGGGTTCGATTGGCTGGATGAATGGGCTTCGCAGTCTTCTGAGCCGAGTAGTGGTAGAGAAGGCGTAGGTAATCGCAGGGAGGATGAGATCGGCATCTCCCTCGCCGCAGCACGGATCAAAGCTAGGAAGCGCCTGGGCAACGCTGCCTCGTCCTCCACAGATGGCATCCTGGGGTATTCAGATGCCGTGGGAGGTGCCAAGTCGCCTCTGGAGTGGTACTTGCCATATTTGAACTTACTGCTTGTGGTGCTGACGCTGGTGATGGGGCTCTTGGCTGAGGAGAGGGTCAAGAGGGTGAGCGGGGGAGGCGGGGGGATGATAATGGTATGGCTTGGGGCGTTGCCGGGAGTGGTGTTTGCCGTGGTGATTGGGGCGAAGGTGATGATGGCTGGTGTGAATCCGGAGAGGGAGTTGAATGGGTTGAAGTATGGGTATAAGGGTGCATGAGGTTACTTATTGCAGGGCTAGAGACAGGCTTGGATGGCGTTTGGCGTTTGACAGGTCACTAAGGAAATAAATTTGGGAGTAGTTTCAACTGACATTATTTTGCTCATACAATGACAAAGACATATACATCTACTTGGACATTTGATCATGACCTCTGTGATGGATGTGAATTCTCTTTTTGCATCCCAATGCATCCCCCCCCACACTCAAAGCCCAAAGCCCACCCTAGCCAACTCTACCACTTAGACGTCTATTGACTCATTGAACCGTAAGACTCCGTCGCTCTTTAGAACACCATCAATTCCGTGAGGTAGCCGTGAGAACAGATCTGCAGCATGCTGCTGCTGCTCGGGAGACTCACCCGACTTGTCCACGACAAGCGCCAGCCCATGCGACTTGATGGCGTCGACCAGAGCGGGGACCATCTCCTATTCACTAGTTAGTCATCGCTGAGAAACTTCTGTAGGACCATAAACTAGCAGGGAAAGAACTTACCAAAAGCTTCGCCGAGCAAATCAACCCCATAAAATTATTACTCTGCGCCATCCTGACCGCCTCCTTGATCGACGTACCTCTACTCCTCCTCCTCCCCCCATCGCCCATCTGCATCCCCTCTTCTTTCTCGTGTTGATTCCTTCCAAGATCATTACACAAAAACACAGGGAAATTCGGTTGCTTCCAGTTGAGCGCGGCACAAATGGTCTCGCTGTACGAGCTGAACACAACCGACCTCGGACCGACACCGCCATCCGTCCCTTGGCTTCGGGCCCGTCGCTGAGTTCGGGCATGGTCGAATACCACAGAGAGGATTGCGTCCACGATGGTGTTGACGTCCATCGCTGCTGCCGGGGCACTGCCGTTTTCGTCGTATGATGGGGGGTAGGACAGGACCTGGATATTGACATGCATGCCCCGCGGCAGCAAAGCCAACGCATCGCGCAAGGTAGTTGCACCGGCCGAGGCAAACAACGCATGAACTTTGGCTGGCTGATGCGCAACATCAGCTGGAAGAGGCGACGGCGGAGGAGGCCCCGTCGCAGTAAGGAACTGGGCCAAGGACAACCGCCAGACGGGGATCTCAATCCCATTGCCACCATCAATCCCAGCGCCGCTGCTGAAGGGCAGAGGAATCGTGACTGTCCGACGCGGCCACACTACCGGCACACCATCAGCCGTGTGCTGGACATAAATGCGCACAAAGTCTCCAGATAGACTAGATCCGGTGATGAAAGTGCTACTGCTGGCGGCATCAAACGCCGCATGATGGTTGTTCACGGTGCCAACCGCGGCACTAGGAGTCGTTGTTGCCTTCCAGTACGTTTCGAAGTCCGTAATCTCAAGCGGCTTGCCCTGGAATGGCTTGATGATGTGCGCCGTGAAGGTCAGCTGGCCGATGGCACGCAGACGTAGGTCGAAGAGGGGCAAAGAGCACAGGTTGCCGGCACTGTTGCTGCCGAGCAGAGCGCAGAAGGTGCTTGGCAGGGCGACGGTACGGGCGATGACCTTGGCCCCGTAGGCCGGGAAGACGTCGAAATCGAGGGTGAAGGCGTCGAGATTGTCGATCTGGAAGGAAACGCTGCGCGTATCTTCCTGGAATGGCAACATGATGTTTTTAGGGATAACGTCAGAAGAGGATTTGGACGAGATGGTCAACCGCGCAGCAGGATACTTTGAGTCTTGAAAGAAGACGAGCGGAGCATGCTCGCCTTTGTCGCCGCCAAAGCACAGCTGGACGACCGTCTTGGTGTCCAAAAAGTTGTGGCCATACCGCCGCAGAGGGATGATAGGCGGCGGCAACTCCAGCACGGGGATCGCATCCGCATCTGCTCCGTCCAGGGACATGGGTGCCGGTGCCGTGCTGCTATCCATGGGAGCAAGAAGCCCTCCAGATGCAACCTGTTTCCGTTTTTTCTCGGGTTCCTTCTCTTGCTCACGACGTTGGTTGGCCTGCGTCAACAGCTGCATGCACTCAAGATGGCCCTCCCAGGCGGCATAGTACATGGCCGGCAGCTCCTTCTCATCCAATATGCCAGGATCGGCGCCCATCTCCAGCAGGGCTTGCAGACAGGGCACGTTACCTTCGCTGGCAGCATGCACAAGAGGCGTCCAGCCGTAGAGCTTGTCGACCTGGTCCAGATCGGCGCCATATGTCTTGAGCAGCAGCAGAAGTTCGGGCTTCTGCTGGCTTGAGCGAGCCACAAGATGCTGCGGATACAGGCCTTCGGCGTCAGGAAGTATGCGGGCGCCGTGTCTCAACAACATCTCAGCTATGTCCAGCGACCCATGTTCGCATGCGATGTTGAGAGGGACGTGGTCGTTATCCGAAACAGGATCCAAGCGGGCCGACCGCTCCAGCAGCCGGGCGACACACTCAAGATTCTTGTTCACAATGCTGTGGATGAGAGGAGTGTAGTTGTCATGGTCAATCACGTCAATAGTATGGGGCGCAGCGTTCAGCAGGGTGTCAACCATATCGAGACGACCGTGGATGCTGGCATAGTGCAGGGGCACACGACCATAGACGTCAGTCCTGTCGGCAGCCACACCATGAGACAAGCCGTATTCGAGAACCCAGACGTTTCCGTGAATGGCAGCCTGATGCAGACAATTGCGCTCATTGATGTCATCTTCCGACTGGATATCTACCAGCCCTGTGTCAAGAAGCACCTTCAAGGCCTCCAACGAGGCCCCGTTGACACCAGCCAGGAACGCCCTGGTGATCCGCTCTAGCAGGACCACGTCGACAACACCACCGTTGGTGTTCTGATCACCAGCCGTCATGGCGTTCATCCGGTTGAGGAGGTCCCGCAAAGCTTCAATGTTACCCGAAAGTACGGTGTCAAGCAACAGTGTGTCGGCGTCACCTTCATCAGTACCCGGCAGATGTTGGCTGTGGACAACATGATCTATCCTGGTCTCGAAGGTGACGTTGTCACCATCGGCCCAGGCGGCGAGCTCCTGAAGACTAGTGGTCGCCTGATCGGACAATTCGCTGATAACAGTGGCATTGAAGAAGGGCTGAACCTCAACAGCACGGGACAAGTAGAGCTCCTTTGTTTTAGACTTGGAGGTTTTATCCCACTTCTTGAGGATCTTAGAGAAAGCCGTGCCGTTGATCTCAACAAACTGCTGCAGCTTGTTCAGATCGGCAGCAAATTGCTGGAAGCCCTCCTGGAGTGTCGTGAACTTAGCAGACCTTCTGGAGATTGTATAGCCGCGAGACTGCAGCACCCTTTTCTTGTCAAGAAGCGTTTTCAGGCGGACTTTGAGCTGATTGGAGGTCAGAATGGGCCATTGAACAAACGATGTCGGGCAAAAGCACTTACTTCAGCTTCTTTTTGCAGGTAGAAGGCGTTGACTTTTTCGAGTTCTCGCTCCTGGACACGAGTTTGGTCACATGTTCATAAGAGACAGATCGGCGTGGTACATACCAACTGGAAGAAGAAGGTGGCCTTGTTCGCCTGCAGGGCCGCCTGAGGGTCCAAGGGCCGAGCCTCGACGCCCTGCACACCATCTTGGGGCTGAAGAACTGGCGTGGCTGAGAGTTTCTTGATGAGCTGAAGGGAGTCAGCATGTCAGCGATAAGGCCTAAGCCCAGAGAAACAGAACATAACCTTCTTCAGGGCCTTGTAGTTAACAAAGCTGGCAGCATACTCGGGCAGCTCAAGAGCCCGTTTTTGAATCTGCTTGCCGAACTTCCTGCTAGTGAGTCAGTCCCGCATAGTTGGGGCATAAGGAGCGAAGGAAGGCAATTACATGGCGAACGGACTGGCAGCCGATAGGCGTCAACCGAGCGACTGTCAGAGGCTCAACGAGAGTGGCCACATGTAGGCGGCAATAAGAACCGATTGGTGGGCGAGACCACGGCAGACGTCTCGGATATTCGATGCTATGGTTGCTTGCTCAGGTTAATGGTTGACCTATGGTGTAACCTAGGCAACAGTCTCAAGTCAGTGTCAACTCAGGGACAAGAGCACCGATGCTGCCAGTGAAGGACAGACGATCATCACCACTCGCCGGCACTGCTGAGGGAAAACAGGTCTTGAAGCTCAAAGCTGCATGCTGCGGGACATACTATTTCAAGACAGTGTGCGCAACTGAGTGTGGACAAAGCAAGGTACCTTACTGACGAGCTTGTGGATGGTGCTGAATGTTGCGATACCCAGCGTGGGGCTCTTGAGGGTTGCTATGATGGAAACTTTTGTCCTTGTTTTTTTTTTTTTTTCCCGTGATTCCAGGCTTCGTAATGACGTCAAAAACCTTGAGTTGAAAGCTGCCAGTGCAATGCCGGGTACAAAAAGGGTATCTGCAATCCGCGACGGCTGAGATGTTGTCGGATGAGGCCTGACAAAGGTCCCTGAGTCCGGCTCTGAGCCGGTGATGTTGAAGCCATCGAAGCGGGTGCCAAGGCCGTTGAGCGTGGGGCATCCTTGCTAGTGATGCGAGTTGCGAGGAGTCACTCGGAACTTCACATGTGCCGGGCTGTGCATGATCGACAGTTTTCCACATTTTTTCAGATAACTGTTTTTACCTAAAACTATGGAATGCCCTTCGTAATGTTTTTGAGGTTCCTTAGTTAGTTAATTTATCACAGCTTTCCTTTGTTTATTGCTCCAGAATCGAAGCTGTTCCTCATCCAATTTCCCTCAAATGTTATGAGTTACAAGCCGCTACCCCCCCAAAACTTTTTGCCCCTTGCAACTCCAAAGCTAAACACCAACCCTCGAACCTCGCCTGCTCCAAAACTCAATGTTTTCTCTATTTCCCGAGGTTACCTTCCCATTTTACCCATCTATACAGCTCGAGATCCGTTGTCTTGGGTCCATGGAACCAACCTCCCTCAAAGCTTCCAGCTATTAGTGTTTTCTCAGGTAAGTCCCCGCGTTTCATTTGAGCCAATGAGGAGCGAGCGTTGAGCCATGTGGTCGTAGGACGGTGATGATTCGACCTTGCAACCTTGGGCATGCATGAAGCTTCGTGATGTTTGATCAGGAGCTGCAGGGCAAAAAGCTTAGACTGTTGATCTCGTGGTGAACTAGGTAAATTTGCTTTTCGGCCTTAGTCTCGAAGTCACGTTGGGGATTGAGGGAAGTTCTTATCTCTTCGGAATACTTCTGGTATTGAAGTTCTACCCAGAGACTCGTAATGCACAAAGGGAGTCAGCCAACTATCTGGCTTGAGCCCCCGACTAGACCCTGAATTTCTGCATCAACATTGTAAGACTTCTTAGGTTGCTTAAATGTTTCAATGATGAGAAACCTGGCAAAGAATCAACCAGTAAACTTGCAAATCGACAGATAGACAGCGGTTGAGAACCCAGAACGGATAACTCTCACAGCTCTCCGCATGAATTACGAATATACACAACAAGACACAAGACCTTGAAGTGCAACCTGCAAAGTAAAGAGCACAGAACTGGGCAACTGCAAACCCATGCGGGGAGCACACAAAGCACATAAATAAATCAGGGAGCCTCAACAAAATACTTGAGCAAACAACAATATACCACACATCTCCTTGCCCCCACAAAACTCCCTACTAGCCTAGCCACCTTTATGTACTCTTTTTCACCTTATCACCTACCAAACTCTCCGCCATCGCATCCGCCGTCGCTTGCCTCAGCCGTTGCTGCTCGGCCGATTCGGCATCCTCTAGACGGATACCACTGCTGCTGCCCTTGCTCCCATCCCGGCTGACCACAGCCTCTCGCTCGTCATCGCTATCGCCCAGGCTGAACGGGTCGTTCTCCGCAATCGGATTCGGGTCTACCGGCGACAGCGGCTGCCACTTGCTCGATTTCCCAGTGGCCGTTGCCGTGCTGCTTGTGGAGACACCCGTGGTGCCAGCGGCAGGGCCGTCCTTGGGCGAAATTCGGGGCGACGCATTGTAGGCGTCGATGTCCTCAACCGTCTCGCGGAAGGCGACGCGGCGGCCGTCTGGCTTGGGCGACTTAGCCGGCGGAGGAGGCCTGTAGAAATTAGGGTTACTCCTGCTGGGGCCGCTGAGAGGCTGGACTGGAGCTTGGGTTAAAGTTAGTAAGAAGTAATTTACTTAAGCGTGGGTAAGGCATCACGTACTCCCATCGTTATGGAACTTCATGCCGGCAAAATCGTCACTCAGCAGCTCCGGATCAGCATCATAGCGGTCATACTCGGCACTGCGCCGCGACTGCTCCCGCGATGGCCGGCCCAAGAAGCCACCTCCACGTGTGCGACGCCGGCCATAGTCATCGTCATCATCGTCATCCGCAAACTCCTCAAACTGCTCATCAATCTTCTTCTTGAGGTTGGATATCCATGTGTTAACCTTGGTTTGAGTCTCAAGGAAGCCCTTGCGCAGACTCTCCTTGATAACCGGCAAGTCATCGTCGAGGAAGCTATGCTCACGCTCGCGGTCATAGTCCCTTGGCTGTGGACGGCCACGTGATGGGGGAATACCACTGCTGCCGCCGCGGTAGGCCCGGTTAGAGGCGCGGGCCTCGTATGCGCTGACGTTCTCGTAATGTTCAGCCAGTTGACGGGCATACCGTTCATCCGCCTCGAGCTGCCTCGGGTCTGTCGATGTGCGCGTAGGCACCGGCTCCGCAGCCGGCCTCGGGGGCTGCGCTGGCGGGCGATCCCGCTCAGCCGCTTCGGGATCGGTCAGCTCGAGAAGCGCGTTGAAGGCGGCCTCGATGCGCCCGCCGCTGGCGGTAAGCACGGCCTTGATGACGGGAAGCTCGACGGTAGGGAAGGCCTCCTTGAGGATCTGCTGGTTCTTCTGGGCCTCAGTCAGGGGCCGCGGCGGCTTAGGCGGCGGTACCTCTTCTTGAGCAGCCGCAGGCGCATTTGCCACGGCAGCAGGAGTGGTGGCAGTTTTGACAGCAGCGTCCTCGGCGCCCAACGTCTCTTGACTTTCGTCGTCGTCCATCTCGAGGGGCCTAGCCGTCGTGGGCGACTCCGGTCCTGGAGGAAGTTTGCTCTACAGATGCGATGGTTAGCTGAGACGCTTCAGGGACTCGACCATCATGCATCCATATAGACAGCTGAGAGCGGCATTCAGCGCAATGCAGCTGTTTAGGGCACAAGAGCACTTACAGGGTCCGCCATGTTGAAAGTCGCGACCGAGTCGAGGTTGTGAGAACCTCAGCAGTGGTGAAGTTGATGGATAATTTCTATGAGAGATCCAAAAATGGCTGTCCGGCAGGGTCGAACCCGAGATCTGTGATGTTCAGGGTCCGGTTGCTAAGTCTGGAACTGGATCATCGAACCTAATGTCGCCTCTCCTGTCGCATGTGCCTGCCAGATTACGTAGCCCCGCAGTGGAGCTTCTCACCGGGGTGCCTCGCACGTTTTATGCTTATCGATAAGAAGCTGTTCCTTATGCTGTGATGTCAGGTACACTTGTGCACACAACAGCTCTCTGATGAAAGAGAGTGAAAAAAGATATTCAAGAACATGCTTCAGCCATGTAAAATGCTCATATCAATTAGTTTCAGCTTCTTCATTGTCTAGAAGTTTTTTAAGCATTGAAACACGATCATCCTAGTCAATAAAGGTACCTGATTTCTTGTACCACAACCCACTCTGTATCCGCACCGTGACGTTTTGACCTTATCGCAATGTTCCGGCGGCACCCCAACCCCATGACGGCCGGCAGCTGGACGCCCTGTCCCAGCCGCCACGACACCAACTCCGTTAACATCAACACCTTCCTCCATCCCACCATTATACCCACCAGCGGCATATCCCAGTGCCGATGTCACGATGGGCAATAGTTCTAGCCGTATAACGGCTCGGGACAAGTGAGCTCACCTCTTTCGATCCCCTTCTCCCCAAGCCAAGGCACACAACCTACTAACACCCGCCCACTCCCAGAGCCATACTCGATCTCAAAAACCAACGCGACGCCCTGCACCGCTACCAAAAGCGCATCGCCATCCTGACCGCGCGCGAGACCGAGATCGCGCGACAGCTCTTAGCGCGCGGCGACAAGCAGCGGGCACTGCTAGCCTTGCGGCGCAAAAAGTTCCAGGAGTCCCTCCTCGCAAAGACGGATGCGCAGCTCGCGCAGCTGGAGCAGCTCGCCGCGACGGTCGAGTTCGCCCTAATCCAGAAGGATGTGCTGTTTGGCCTGCAACAGGGCACGAAAGTCCTTCAGGAGATTCACCGAGAGATGGGCGGTATTGAGAATGTGGAGAAGTTGATGGGGGAGACGGCGGATGCGATTGCGTATCAACAGGTCGGTCTACTAGCTGTGACAAGAGGGATTGCTTGGTGTTATGCTGACAATTATAATGGAGCAGGAGGTCAGTGAAATTCTCTCTGGCAGGATATCGAACGCAGACGAGGAGGAAGTGGAGGACGAGCTGGCCGCCCTCGAGGCCGAGGTCAACGGTTGTGTTGGTACTGCTGAGCGGCTACCCAACGCGCCTACCACAGATTTACCAGCACAGAAGTCTGGTGAAGAATCTGCCGTAGTATCACAGCCTACCAAGCAACGAGAGCGGCAGGTGGTGTTTGCTTCCTAGTACTGAGAGGCGAAGGAAAATGTCCATTGACTGGATAGTCACATGCGCGACACTGGTGTACTCCGTATGATGTAGAAGTCGTTGATATTAATGACCTTGTGCATAGCTTACAATCACTATATCACCAAATACCCCTACATTGATGTTTCCAATTCGCAAGGGAAGTCCTTGGGAGTTTTCCATCATCCATTCCCAAACACAGGGTATCCCACACTTGATAGAATAATCCTCCAGATATCCCGTGCATCCCTGAACAGAGTATGCCAAATATCAGCTCATCCGACTCCTGGTGTTAAATGACGCTTGCCACGGAGATCCAGATACCATAACTCCTAGCCATGCCGACAAGCAATGCGAACAAGCAATTCTCCCGTGCAATACCATTGGACACTAGGTATTACCCATATTTCCCCTGTGTCCGTAATACCACGCCGTTTTTGGGAACTATCTCACCGAACCGTACAGTTATATAAAATAAGGGTACGTCAGCAAAACTTTACGGCCACAACGCCCACTGCGTACAGCGAAGGGCCGGTGAGAGTACAAATCTGTGTGTACTCAACGAAGACTCAGTCGATCTCGATGATCTTATGATTCCTCGGAACAGGACGCTCAGAATGGGGCTGATGAGAAGCAGCCAGCTGAGGACCCGAGGGATGAGGCCTTGGAGGTGGAGGGTACTGCTCTCCATGTACATCAAAAACAGTATGATGTTGAGGATATGCTCGGGTCGAAATGCTAGACAAAGTATAAGTTAGCATCATCATAATACGCGCAAATGGATAAGTGGCATCACCTTGGCTGTTGCACATATTCAATCCCAACCACGCGCTCTTGACGCTGGAAGTCATTCGGCAGAGGGCTAAAGGCATGGTCACTCCCCTGTCCATGATGCCTGCCCTGTCTACCAGGGTCCACAAACCATGCAGGCTCCCACTGAAGATGCACGGACGGATGCCTGTAGATATCTGGTGTGAACCTGTTCTCCCTTTGAGCTCTGTGCTGGATAAGAACAGGATGCGACTCATACTCGGGGAGTGTTTGCTCCACAGAACGATGGTCATGCTGTTTGGGGAACTGGTCTGAGCTTTTGGCAATCTGGATGAAGCCATTACGGGCTAGATCCAAAAATTGTTGATCCAACCGCTGAGTGAGCTGCCTCTCACAAGGGCCAACCCGGATGGCGCCACGATTGTCCGCGCCTCCAGTAGAACGGCCGTGAATTTCAGAAGAGACATGGGCAGGAATCACATCTGGTCTCCTCAGGCGATCATTGTCGGCATCGATTACGTAGTCTTCCGATCTTAGGAGCGCACCATCTTTCCTGGCCCAAGTTGAGTGAGAGGAAGGCCCGTAGACTAGCCCCGAACCGCTGGGATACAACGGCTCAACGTAAGAACGGCCCCGTGGGTTCCTAGAGTCCATCGTTCTGACACTCCCACTACTGCTAACTCTGGCATTGCTCACCGGTTCCGGATTGCGCTGACTAATTTGGTCAAGACGAGAGCCAAGATGCACTGTCTGACTTGTTTCTGAGTGCGGTTTGAGCTCAATGAACCCTTGAGTTTCCAAGGCTGCATAGATGCTCGCGGTCTTCTGCGTCTCTCGAGGAGGGACTGTACCGCCATGAGGGTGATCTTCTATACGCCTAGAGTCCCAAAGACTCTGAACATGATAGGGTTCACGCTCGCGGATCGGAAGAGCAGCTCGACCTTCAACAGTGGGAAACTCCGGAGAAGGGAGTTCAATGGAGGGCACAAGGTAGTCCTTCAAATCCTGACCTTGATGACTCACCCGCACAAAATCCTGTCCCACGGAATTGCGAACACAAGGGAAATGATTCTCTTGGACGCAGTCTTCCGGGGGAATACGATAATGAGTGGGAGGAACTTGACGGAGTTCTTCAGGATGGTCATCTCTCCTGTAGTATGCATCTACAGGTCGCGAAGCTCGGACCGGCAGACTATCCGTCTGCGGAGGCAACTGAGCCAGGGTACGAACCGCCGCTGTCCTCGAATCGGCTTGTCCTGGTTCTGTCCGCCACAGCTGCGGTCTCTGGCTGCTGAGCTTTTCTGTGGGAACATAGCCCACAGAATCAGCCAAGCCCTGATCCATACGCCGCTGCCTCTCCAAGGCTTTAACCCACACCTGATCACGTCTTGCTTGATGAGCTAGGTTGCGTTGTGCCCATCCGCCCTCCTTTTCTCTGTTGGAACTCTTGATAACCTTCTGGGGAGCATGACTCGAATGTACATTATCAGCCCTTGATCTGTCAGTGATAGACAGCACAGAAGATGATTCAGCGAGAGGGGGAACTCTGCGTGGCCCTTCCGCCCTATCTGCAATTCTTGCAAAAGGCTCTGCTGCAGAAGTGGCAGCCGAGGACTCTTCATGACCCTCGTTTTCGTCCTGAAACTCCGCGGACTCATCTGACTCTTCATCTTCCGAGTCTGAGATGACAATAACCTCGCGGAGGATCTCGTCAAGCTGGTCCCGGCCTGTCTCTTCATCACCACGCCACTTGGCCAAGGTCTCCAAGCAAAGGTTCTCGACAGCTTTCCGTGCAATGACGTAGCTGGTCTCCTGAAGCAGCTCGTCATACCGGGTGTGATTGTGGCGAATGTGTGCAAGCACAGCTAATGCCACACGTCGCGCGAGGGTTATGTCTGGGGCAAGCCCAACTGGACGCTCCCCATTTTTGATTCGTGACTGATTCTCTTAGGTGAGTTCATCTGATCGATATGTCCCTGGTAGCTTCATCAAATCAAGCCACTCCAAATCTTACTGACCTTGTTGAAAGACTGGTCAAGAATTGCCTCTCGATCAAAATTGGGGATACGAGGGAATAGGTCCTTGATGGCTGCATCAGCCTGCTTAAATATCTCATCCTGGTCCTCTGGGATCGGCTCCGGCTGATCGGGTGCCGAAGACAGCGGCAGAAGCTGCTCGGGCCGTAAAGATGCGCGCGCTTGCTCAACAATGCTTTCCCGAACGTGATACCCGACCCTATTAAGGTGTTTGCTGAGGCGATTGGAGAAGCCTGGTCGGTTTACCTGTCAAGGAGTTTTGTTAGGGGTTGCAGGTTGCCAGGACACACAAGCAATTCCTTGTCAAGAACAAACCACAACAATGAAGACCATAGCTCCTTGGTCGCGTGATATCTCCTTGCAGGCTGTGGTCAGAGCAGGATTCCCGATTGGTACGAACTCGAATCCCGGAGGCGGCTCGATCTGCTCCGTAAACTACTTCATATTAGCCATAATTAACCGCGTCCGCAGTACAATGTGACCGAGTTACCTCCATCTCAAGCTTCTTTTTCTTGTCCTTGTTGTCGACGACTTCATAATAAGTCGTGTGTCTAAGCTTGACGGAGGGCTTTTCTGGTAACGCGTTGATTCCAGGAGGAAGAGGCGCTCTCCAGTCAACGAGATTGCCCTTGCGATCCCGTTTATGACGCTGTTTAGCGTGGTCTCCGGCGGCTGGGCCGTGCTTGGTTTTTCTCTCTCTTGCCATCCTGACTGCTGAAACTTAGCCCACTACAAGACATGGACGACGAGAAAGCCTTAGTTATCGCTGGAACGACAGGAGAACGACGACGAGCGCAGTATGTCGCGTGATACTTCACAGCAACCTACTTGATGCGAGGTGTCGAAGACAAACACTCCAGTCGCTCGAAAAAAGAGCACTAGATGTGCTGAAATCCCTCTTGAAAGGCGGAAGTAAGAAACGAAACCCGTGTGCGAACACAGCTTCAACAGCTTTGGAGAAAGCTGCTAGTAATGCGTCGGCGTGGCTCGATCTCGCAGAATTGACGACAGGAAGAAACAGGTAGATAATAGGTAACCAGAAAAATTTCGAGCATGCAAAAACTTCGAGGTCGGTCGTAGCCAGCAGCGATGGTAGAGGAATTGCTTAGGGTCCTCTCGGAAATCAACACAGATTTCACCACTCGCTCCCGTAAGGAGAGCACTGAAAAAGCCCACACAGGCAAGGAAGGAAGGCACACGCATCAAGCGGCAAAACCTCTTTCCTTGCGTTCAAGAAGACTCTGGTTGGCTGACCGTACAACTTTGCTAGGTGCTAGCTTCTCGAACTGATGACTCGAGAAGCCTTCTGTAAGCAAACAAGTCAGGTGTCAGGTTGAGTTGAGGTGAGTTTGATGCTCATAAATGAACCCGCCTGAGAGAAGTCCTTAAAAGAGATTGATCGCTTGTCTTCTACCCATCAGATCCGAGCCTGTCCAATGATCGACCATGGAAGAAGTGTGGCGCATGGGCCAGGCATCGATGGTTGGGCTGCTATCTGTGGCTTAGTCACGCTCACTTGGAAGGCGGTTGCAGCTGACAGCCAGCTGGCAAGAATTCCGAAAACAACCTCCGCTGACAAGCCATACAGAATGCATTCGGCAGGCCTACCAACGTAGATCAACCTAACCTGAGCCTTGCAAGCTCCTTCATGTCGCTCAAATAAGGGTGATAGCCTAAGAAGTGAGGGGTTCGGTAACCTTAGGCCATATAACTTTCGTTCATTCATAAGACACCTTCCGAATCTGGTAACCGAAGCCGAGCAAGAATGATCTACTGAGTTTGTCCTCAATCGTCGTCACTCGTCCTCACTCTGAAGCATTCAGATCAAGCATAAATGCTTGTTCTCCCCTGATAGCTAGAAATGAACAGCAAGGACCAAGTTAAGCTGGTCTATTTCTGAAAAGCCTCCTTGTCTTGCGCTAATTACTACCCTATATCCATCTTGTAAAGAATGGCCGACTCGGAAGTTGGCGGGGCTTTTATCCCTGCCTTGTACAAACCAGCAGCGCTTCTTCCTATTGCCAAGCACCGCGAGTCTCTCCTATACCTAGTTGAAACGAACCCGGTTACCATCGTCGTTGGCCAAACAGGATCTGGCAAAAGTACACAGATCCCTCAGTTTCTTGAGAAAGCAGGTTGGTGTGCTGATGGGAAATTGATTGCTGTTACACAGGTACGTTTGGAACTAGTCGCTAGAAGCTTGAGCCCTTATCTATTCTGCATCGAACGATGTGTGCTAACTTGTCTCTCAAAGCCTCGCCGTGTCGCTGCGGTCACGTTGGCCATCAGGGTGGCCGAAGAATTTGGCTGTGAAGTCGGAAAGGAAGTCGGCTACTCGATTCGGTTTGAAGATGCCACGTCTGAGAGCACCAGGATCAAGTATATGACAGATGGGCTCTTGATCCGGGAAGCCCTTGTTGATCCTTTGCTGTCGCGGTATTCTGTTATCATGATCGATGAGGCCCATGAGCGGTCCATCAGCTCCGACATCCTTCTGGGCCTTCTCAAGAAAATCCGCAGGAAGCGCCCGGATCTTAGGATCATTATCAGCAGCGCGACACTTCAAGCTGAAGACTACCGGGCGTACTTTGAGAAGGCCTCCGAAACTCAGGAGGAAGACAGCTCCAACGACAAGCAAAAGGAGAGCATTGCATCCATCATCAGCATAGAGGGCAGGACATATCCGATCGATATCCTCTACCTCGACACTCCAACTGAAGACTACCTCGAAAAAGCGATCTCGACCGTCTTTGACATACACACCAACGAACCGAAGGGAGACATTCTGGTCTTCCTCACAGGACGCGATGAGATCGAGCAGGCTGTTCAGGCTGTATCCGAACGTTCTGCCAGCCTTCCCCCGGGCTCAGAAGCTCTCCTTCCCTTGCCCTTGTATTCCGGTTTGTCTGCAGAGCAGCAAATGTATGTGTTCGAAGAAGCACCAGAAAATACAAGAAAGGTGATTTTTTCGACCAACCTCGCTGAGGCGTCCGTCACAATCGAGGGGATTGTGTATGTAATAGATTCAGGCTTCGTGAAGCTACGGGCCTACAACCCCAAGACTGGTATCGAGAGTCTCACGGCCACGCCCGTCTCGAAAGCGTCGGCAGCCCAGCGTGCAGGTCGTGCCGGTCGAACCAAGCCTGGGAAATGTTTCCGGCTGTATACTGAGGAGGCGTATCAATCACTGCCTGACGCCACTGTCCCTGAGATTCAGCGCTCAAATCTGGCACCCATCATCCTTCAGCTCAAGGCCTTGGGCATAGATAATGTCCTCCGGTTCGATTACTTTACGCCACCTCCGGCAGAACAAATGACACGCGCCCTAGAGCTTCTGTACTCCCTGGGAGCACTGGATGACTATGCTAAGCTCACTCGACCCCTTGGGCTCAGGATGGCAGAGCTGGCTGTTGAGCCAATGATGGCCAAGACGCTCCTTTCAGCGCAGTCCTTTGGATGCCTAAGCGAAATCCTCACGATTGCAGCCATGACAAGCTTGGATGGCACCCTTTGGATTCAACACGAGGGAGACAAGAAGAAGACGGAGAGCGTCAAGCGGAAGTTCGCCGCTGAGGAAGGCGATCATCTCACGCTACTCAATGTCTACCAGGCCTTTGTGACTAAAGGTCGCAAAGAGGCACACTGGTGCCACGAGAACATGCTCAATTACAAGGCCATGATTCGCGCCGTTAGCATTCGTGCTCAACTGAAGCGCTTTCTTGAGCGGTTTGGCATCGACGTCGAGGAATCGCTGTCCTCGCCCTCAGTATCCCAACAACCAGCGAACAAGGCGGAGAAGATCCAAAGGTGTCTGACAATTGGCTACTTTGCGCACGCAGCCAAAATGCAGCCTGATGGGACATTCCGCAACGTCTCCGGAACCACGGTGTTGCATGCGCACCCCAGCTCTATCATGTTCAATCGCAAGGCTGACTGGGTGATCTTTCATGAGGTGTTGGAGACGAAAGACAAGACGTTCATCAGAGACATTACACGCATCAAGAAGGAGTGGTTGCTAGAATATGCCCCTGACTTTTACAAGACAACTTGAAGATAAGGTTAAGAACTGGATGTTGTGCAGTTAGTCTGCAAATGTATCCAATTGGGCCGAGGGCATCTTGGTAATACTTGGCAGGCAGCTTGATGTTAGCCATACGTATTCCGGGAGAATGTTGATCACTCCCTTCCTGTTCTTTTCCTGTAACTCGGATGCCAGCTCCACTTGCTTGGGACACAGTGTGCCTGATCACTCAGCTCTTCACATGGATGCTCAAATTCTCAACCAGATTTGCGCCAAACCCACTAAAACGACTACCAATAATGCAATAAGAATACGCGCATGCAAACAAATGTGAAGCACACAGAATGCTGAGAAACGGTTGAATATAATAAAAAAAAATCTAAAGTTTAGCTCTAGTTGCCTAAGGTAAGAATTAGCCTGACTATAGCTCTGACTAGGACCTACCTAAAACCCTATGTGACGACCTACCTAGTGTCCCTGGGATAGGTTCAAATTCGGATGAAGGCTTATGGATCTAAGAAACAAGAGTTCTCACACAGATATAAGAGCACTGTGGTGACCAGTTTGGTATGCGCAACTGTTTGTATTGCTGACTAGGGAGTTCATTGTCCCTTTCCCACGAGGAATCTATCTACATTATACTCAGGATCCTCCTAGGACATACCTCGCTATATTAGTCTTGGTGGATGGTGCTTTCTACGTACCAAGACAAAATGGGGCTGTTTTACTGGAACCGGATTCTCGATATCATGCGAACATTCTGGTCTCACCAAGCCCCCACTGCAAAGCGCAGCCAGAGACTCGGTTCTAGAACTGGTGTTGTTCCGCAGAAAATTTTCTAAGGTCAAGTCGTTAACAAGTAGAACCTGGCCGTTTTATGCAGTGTCACCACGATGGAGTCCGTTTGTGCATTGTTTCGACTCGGCATGACCCGCAATTTCGATCCTCGAAGTACTTTGTTTCGAACGCTCACCGCTGATCGCTGAAAACCATACCTTTCCTCTCAAGGAACACACGTCTCTTTCTCAACGCCGTTTTCTCTCTTCTTTTCTCTCCTCTGGCATCTTTCCTTTCCAGTTGTCTTCGCCTTTGTTTATCTCTGATCAGAGATCGCTGCGTTCCATCAGGCCTTCGCCCCCGCGGTGTTCGTAACAATGGCGAGACTGTGGTTCATCTCGGCAATGTCATGCCCCCTGAGTTAACGGACAAAGAAGCGGTGCCCAGGAGGAGCAGGCCACCTCATCCCACTGTGGCCCCCTGTGCTGCCGAACAGGCGAGATTAGCGCCATCTGGACTTGTTGTCCGTTCCTGCATTTGGCATGGATCTTATTCCAGAGGACGCGGGCCTCTGAGTGGCTGCATCGCGGTACCAGTGGGTAGCCCTTGGCAGGATAACCCGCAAATGGAATGCGCCAACGCCGGCGCGACGCGCTATGATTGGCCGTAAGTAGACTCATAGCCCCCCACTAGCATCCAGGAACGCTGCCCCTTTTTGATCAGGGTAAAATTAGCAATTTTGATTCGTCAACTTGCTGGGCTCGGCCGTTAAGGAACAGCGGGCAGGTCGCTGCGACGGCTGCGCTGCGCGCTGTTGGCAGCGCTGGGCTCTTGCTAGACAGGCATCGAGAGCCCTCTCTTCACCCTTCATCTTCCTCGCCGGTGAGAGCTCCAATGCTCCGTTAGTGGCGTTTTTTTTTGGACTGTGTTTTCCACTTAGCGGGCTCGGTAAGTGGACCGTTGGTTGGATAGTGCCGGAGGACGTGGACGCTGATGCTGTTGTCTTGCCCTTCCTGGCTGGCCCTTCAAGGTTTCTCGGGCCCTGTTCGTCAGCCTCCGTCCCTTGTTCCTGGCCGCCTCCACCGTTCCCGTTCCATCCCATGTCCCATCCCAGCTCCATGCTCCCGTCTCTTTCTCCCTGGTCTTCTGGCTGGCTTTCTTCCCAGACGTCGCCTCTATCGTAAAATCTACACTAATTCCTAATTCACTACCTGCCTCACCGCCACCACGAACGCTTCCTACCTGCCCCCCTTCCACTCCTTTGGCTTCGCTGTCCCGTCTCCCTGGGAATCTGGTTTGCGCCTACTACTCCAAGGTCAGACGTTTCACCAGCTTCTCATGGTCGCTTGACGTGTGAGAGCATCCACTCCTTTCGCACAACACCAACTTGCCTGCTCCTCTTCGCAGGCGTGCCGCTCCTTTACGATTCGACGCATCGAAGTCCGACTCTTCGCTACAACGACGGTCGGTCTTCTCGTCACGACGCTCCTTTAGACTAACAACGACTTTGGGGGTTCTCGGTAACTAGAGGCGATACGGTATCCTTCATTTGCTCCTCCGCACTCTTGACAGTAGGACATCCAACATACTCGACGACACCTGTTAATATCTAATCTTGTGTTCGCCGCGGGCCTGGAAAATACGATCGACTTTAGTTGATCGCCGCTGGGAACTGGAGTCGTTTCTCTGGATCGCTTTTTCCCACGTCGAAGAACGGGTCTTATCACCGCGTCATTGTTATCGCGTGTTTACGGCTGTTATGAGAACGACATCATCTTGGGCTCCTTGACGGATAACGAACGTTCTATCTCGGTTTATGCCACGGACGAGGCAAAGATAACTTTTTTTCGGGAAATCGCCATAGGCTGTCACAGCACTGCCTGCGCAGTCAGTTACGGTTCGTATCGTGTTTGTGGAGGATTAACGGGTTGCAACGATGGATGGGTTTCATGACGATGGGTACGCCCGATATGGGCTGGGCCCTCGGGTCCCTCCTCCACATCTTAGGAGATATGCTCCTATGCCGACCATGACGTCGACTCTTGGGTTCAGAGTTCCCTCGCCCGTGATTGTTCCGCGGGCAGCTGAGACTACTGAGGACTGCTCCGATCCCAGAGCATGCGAGAAGCCCGTGAGCACATCCTCCTTAACTGTGCCTATTACTCTGGGCGTTTGGTAAGTGTGCCGAGTACAGATCCGTAGCCCGTAAAGCCTTATGCTGACCTCTTATGCAAGTATTCCTCTTGTGGCGGCTATCGCTATCCTGGTGTACCTCCACAGGAGAAATATTCGGCGGCAACGTCAGGAGGATCTCAACGATCCGCACAAGTCTCTTGACTTCGGCCTGGGTCCGTCACAAGACTCGACGAAGAACCTAATTGACAAGGAGAAAGGAGGGCGCTTTGCTCGGCAACAAATGTCCATGGACATGAACTTGACCAGCCCCTATCTTCTTCCTCCTGAGGTCCACAACTCGCGCGAGTCACTGAACTCTCTCTCTAAGTCGCTGCACGGCGCCGAGGATCCCTACCGGCCTGTCACGCAGTATGCCAACAGCGACGTTGCTTCTCTTCGTTCGCCCTCGCGGGCTCAGGACCCCTTTTCTCCTCGTGCGAGCGTCCGCTCAGATATGCCACCTCCTTCTCCGGGTCCATACGGTTACAACTCACCGCCTCGCAATAATGGACCGCGATCTCCAATTCACCCCCCGGAGCCGAGCCACGCTAGGAGAGATTTCCAGCGCCCTGGCGAGTTCTCCCCTCCCCCCAGCGCCCCGCCGACCGGGCCGCTGCCGCCGATTGGCATGGCGGTGTCGACGCCTCCAGGCCAGGATGAGAAGTCACCGATCCAAGAGCCGCCTGCTGCTGCCCAACGGGATGTCCTGCCGAGGTTATCGACCTCTCCCCCTCAGCCCAGCCCCGCTGACTCTGGCGTAGCTGTCGACAATTCGAACGCCCCCAGCAACCCGTTCGAGAAGCCTGAGGCCCAAGAGGTGGAAACGCCAGTCGACTCCCATGGCGTGGGTTTGGGTCTCTCCACTGATCCTGAGAATGCCCGTGCTTCAATCCAGACGTCCATGACGTCCAACAGCGGGCCGTCCAGCCCGATCTTGCCGCCAAAGTCGGAACCTTCCGTGCCAACAGCGCCGAGGATCGAGGTGGCTGATGATGGCTCCGACCATGGCGAGGACGGCTCTCGCCAAGCCCGTCGCCGCTCAGATTCCCCTGGCCCCAGATTCGATGACCAGGATGGTGAAGAGCGGAGAGGTCGGACCATGCAAAGGACGTCTCAGCTCATTGAGCAGCAACAGCAGGCGCGGAAGAGCCTGGCTGTCCCGCAACAGGACGGTCGTCGCCTGTCGGTCGGCTACCGCCCTCTGCCCCCAGATGAAATTCTCGACTCTGAAGATCCCGAATACAGGGCCAACCGTATTCGCTCCTTCTATAAGGAGTACTTCGATGAGACGAAGCCCGAGGACAGGCCGCCAGTTCCTCCCGTTCCCCCTCAGCACCAGCAACGGCACCAGCACCAGCAAAGCAACGCTAGCTACTACGAGGACTACGATCCGGCGTATGCACCAGACGCCCCATACTTCGACCCTACCACCAACAGCTTTGTTATGCCTTTTGCGCAGCCCGTGTCTCGTCGGGCTATGACACCTCCCCCGTCTGGCAACAGGTTCCCCGGCCCAAGAGGTCCGCCGCAGCGCCCTCGTGCCGGTTCTCAGGCTGGCATGCGGCTCCCTCCCAACATCCGTGGCCCCCCGCGTCCCGGCTCTTCCGTGTCCAACCGCCCGCCGAACAACTCGCGGCCGGGCACAGCCATGTCAGGTATGCGCTCCGCCTCTGCCATGTCCGGAGCGAAGCCCAAGAAGCCCATGCCACCGCCGGCCGATCTCCAAACTCTGCCCACTCCGGCCAAGCTCACAGACGACACGTCCATTCTCAACCCTATCGACTTCGCGCCCCCGGAGACCTTCGCCGAGCGTGCCCGCGGCCGGTCTCAAAGCCCGCTGGGCGAGCGCCGTCCGTACAAGATGCCCGTGGCTCACTCGCCGCTGGCCAATGCCTACGAGGAGCTCCCTGCTCTGCCCAGCCCGTACGTAGTCCTTTCCTTCAGTGTTCTGTTTCCCGCACCCTTACTAACTTGTAAATTACAGGCACATGCTCCGCAAGTCCGGCACGTTCACGGCGCTCGACTTCGCGCCGCCGCGCAAGTTTGCCGACGTCGACAACGCTCGCAGCGAGACCGGCTCCATCCGCAGCAACCACAGCGGTCTGTCCGCGCTTCAGGCCCAGGCACTGCGTGCCGGCGCAGGCCGCGTCAGCCGTCTTCCCGACGACGAGGTCTTCACGCAAGCGGCCATGGCCGAGAAGCTTAAGCCTCAATGGGGCATCCGTGACTAAAGTTGTTGATCGAAGTCGAATGGTTCTTTTTGTGTGGGCGTTTTTGGTTTAAACAAAGCAAGCAAGCATATAGAGCAGGGTTGTATTTTTGGCTCAGTTTCGTTCGTTTCTCCTTTAAAGTTTCATTCGTAGCCTCATGGCACACTCGGATCAAGATGATGGATGTTGCTGTTCCGCTGGCTTTTGTCCTGTCCTGGAGAAGGTGAAAGCAGAAGACAAAAGGTTCGCTAACCGGTTGGCTTGTTGAAGGGTTCGGTGGGTTGGATGGGCTGGCCGCCCTGATTATACACACACATCCCTCGTCATTCTTGATTATCATCCCCATTTCCAACCTACCTACCTTATCAATCGGGCAATGCTCTATACACCCATAACCCTGGCAACTCAAGATAGATCTCTTTGTTCCTCGTCTTGTTAAGGTAGACCCTCGGAGGTTCATTGATCTCATGTCACGTTGATCAAGTTCAAGTCGTCCTACACTACTGTCAAGCATGTATCGGGCGTCAGGATTAAGGCAAGCTTCATCTTTTTGCAATTATTTTACCATTCGTTAACACTTTTCGATTTTCTTCGGCACGTTTTGTTGGATGGGGAATAAAATAGCAGGTGGGCGGGTGGTGTTTTACTCTTTCACTAGCCTTTTCATCCTTTTCTCACTTCCCTTGGGCCCTCATGGATGGATGGTTGGAGATCGATCTTCCCAACATGTTGCAACCCTGCCGGATACCTCTCCCGCCAGGCATAATGACCTGACCCGATTTTTATAAGTTTACCAACTACTACCATATACAGCTACATCTTCGCATCTTTTTGATTCTCTGCCCTCGGTGCCTTGCGACCTGGATCGCATTGACAACAGGGCCTTTGTGCGGGCAACCTGGGTTGCGTACTGACCAGGCAAGGTTCGTGATGGATTCAAACTCTGGTTCTGCACTTTGATATTGCTTGTACTTCACGTATAGACGAGGCCATATTTGGGAGGTAATTGGTTGCTGGTTAGTTAGTTGGGCAATAGAATAATATCTTCAATCATCCGCTGTGTCCATGTGACAGTTCATATTGTGAGGAGCTTGAAACCAAACATAGAGAACTCCCATTACCTAAACCCAATGACTTACCATTCCCGAACAGTTTTGTTTCGCCTGGCTTTGAAGGACCATATTCTGTAGCACACTGGTTCAAGCCAAGACTGTTTTAATTTCAGCAGTCACCCCTTTTACAATTTACTCACTCACCGAGAAGTTGGGATATCTACACGCAGCAGCATGGGATTTTGGGGATTTGAAGCTGTGGCAGAGATTCGAGCATTGAATTGCTCTGTCCAACCGCTCATGCTATTTCGGCCTTCCTGTTGGGTGACCCTTTTGGACTCGTCCCGGGACTCGGTGAGGCAACAACTGGTCTTTCACAGGTTACCCCAAAGCGATGGTGGTGACGCTCAAAGTTGGACCGATGAAAGAAACCTGGAAACTCCTGCCTCACATTGATCGTAAACCCATCATCCCTGGCGATTGGCCCATCGCCTTGTAGTACCACGAGCAACCGAGTGACAGAGCAAAAAATCGTATTGACCGCAGATGTGATGACCCTGAATGCAGAATTTTCCGAACAATCTCTAACCACCAACTCCTCACGCAAACCACTCACGGTCCCGGCGAGTAGGTGCTTTTGCTGGTCGACCCGTTTACTCCTCTGGAGTAGAGTACGTGTCGTGCCATGCCGTCCGTCATGCCGTTGCCGACATCCCAAGAGATAGAGAAATAATTCGCCTTCCGCATTTAGGAAGAAGGAGCATCACCACGGCCCCGACCGAAACCACCGCGGCTGTTGTGATAAACGTCAGTAAGACCTCTCAGGTGAAACAAAGAGAGCATCCATCCCGCCGCTGAATAGAGCTATCAGGTGTCCCAGGGTAAAAACTTACAACTGAGGAGCAAAGTTGCTCGGGGCACCCTCCTTGCCCTCACCAGCCTCACGGCGCCGGTAGCCACCCTCGCGGTCACCGCGGTCGCCGCGGCCACGGCCACCGAACCTCCGCTCGCTCTCGCCCAGCATGCCGCGGGGTGGGATGTGAGACCGCTGCTGCTTGATGTGGGTAGCAGGAACGATCTCAGCGGGCAGATGAAGCCACTCCCGGAGGTAGTCGAGACCAGCTGGGGTCAGGGTGTAGTAGTAATATTGCCAGGAGAACTGAGTCTTGACATAGCCGCGGGACTGGAGGGACTGGAGAGCCTTGATGACGTAGAGGTTGCGGACGCCAATCTCATGCATCGACTCATAGCTGCAGAGTTTAAAAATTAGCATCTGCAGCCATTACACAGCGTATCTCTTCTCCGTAAGAAATCTTTTGACGCTGTCGTAGTCTGGCGTGTCTCAGGGATGTCTCGAAAAAATATCGGGCGTGATCGTGTATTTCTTTGAAAAGGGGGCAAATCGGGAAACCTACTCCTTCGCGGCGACCATAACACCCTCCCGGAAGAGGTACTACTTCCAGTGTTAGCACCGTGTTCTCGCGATCATTTGAAGCCAAAGTCGAGATTCATCATCACTTGGGCTGTTCGACGTCAAAAAAAAAGGCGAAATGGTCGTACCTCGTGGATCGCCTTGCGATCAGCCTTGGGAATAAGCATCTTGGCGGCTGGATCGGTTCCGACACAATTCGTGATATTGGTCTGGGGAAAGGTCGGCGTTGAGGAGTCGGGAGCTCTCAAAATTCAAGGTCTCAGCGATTTGTGGGCTCGCAGCGCCGAAATTCCAGTCCACTGATAGGGCTCGCGGATTAGCGGGGCACACAGCCACATAGACTTCACAGGAGTCTTGGCACGATCAGGCGGGCCTGATCTGTGGCTGGTGAACCCACCTCTCCGTCTGTATTGCGGCGCTGGGAAAGCATTGACCACATTCGGTGAGTGGCCTGAGCTTGTGAAGCAACAGCCGCCCAGATGGCATCGCATCTAACATAAAGCGTCCAACAAATCCCAACCTCGATTAACATATGATCGAGAGGCCCTGTGTTAGAATCATTCTTTAAAGCTTTTCTGTAATTCATCTCTTTGAGGTGATCACAGCTTCAATACTCTTTACCGCCAAGTCCCACTCCATTTCAAGCAACGGATTGCGATCTCTCCACTGAACACTGAACCACAATGGGCCGCTCAAGCAAAATCAATGTTTTAATCAGCACAATTGAAGGAACAGGGCTCCCTCCAACCCTGTGTCTTGTCCTTCCTCCAGATTCTCCGGTATCATCCCTCCGCGATGAGCTTGACAGCCGCCTACCCACCTCAGCCAGTCCTTACTCCACCCGCTTACTCCTGACAACACTTTCGAGTCGCTGGGTTCCATTAGATTCGCCTCTTCCCATCTCACACTTCCTGCCGACATGCGACCCTGTTGCAGATTCCGACTCCGAAGTCGACCAGCTCCAAAATGACTTCCTTCACCTGCGCCTTGCCGTCCCACTGCTCGGTGGCAAGGGTGGCTTCGGTTCCCAGCTGCGCGCGGCGGGCGGTCGTATGTCGAAGCGCAACAAGCGCGCGAACGTCAACCCGGAAGAGGAGCAAGGGTCGTCACGTAATCTGGATGGTCGACGGTTGCGCACCGTGACCGAGGCGAAGGCTCTGGCCGAGTACTTGGCAATCAAGCCGGAAATGGAGAAGCGCGAAAAAGAGGCGCGTCGGAAGAGATGGCAAGAAATCATCGAAATGACAGAGCGGAAGCAGGAGGAGATTCGCAACGGGAAAAGGGGTGCGATCTTGGATGGCAAGTGGGTTGAAGAGAAAGAGGTCATGGGAGAGAGGACACGGGAGGCTGTCATGGAGGCTATGAAAGCTGGTGCTTGGAAAGACAACTTCATTTCGCTTGGTGAACCTAGCAGCAGCCGCACTGTTGCTAGCAGCAGTTCAGCGGATGAGGCAATGGAGGAGGACGAAGAGTCAGAAAACGGCTCATCTAAGGCCACGACCCCGCCATCAGAACCAGATCCAGCGGCGGAAGTGAAGGGCAAGGGAAAAGAAAAAGAGACACCAATGAAGCATCCAGCTCCGGCTGCGAAGAAGTTCTTTGGTTTTGACGATGACGACGAGTTTATGAGTTCTGATGATGAAGGTGGCGATGAGAGCTAATGGTGTGAAGATTCAGGGTCGGGAAGAATGTATATTTAAGATATACTGATATTGACACGGCGTATAGGATTCACTGGCGTTAATGGCGTTGAATGGAAGTCAGTGTTGAGCTTTTCAGACTGCAGGATGAACATCACGTCACAATTAAGGGCTCACAAAGAATAGATCAACAACTACTTAATTTCTCTACCTCACCCTATTTTCATCAACACTCCATTGGTGTACAGAAACAAGCAACCCAACTCTCTCTATGTGTATTCTCCTTTACTGTCGTGAGCCTACTGTAACATGATCCAGGCTGGAATCATCTACCACGCCTACCCTATTCTAGTTCATCCCCAAGACACCCCTTTTAGTCCAGCTTAGCAGGGAAGTTACCAGCCTCTGTAATCGCAGTCAACAACTCATCCAGGGGCATAGCTTGCAAGCAAGGAGGTAGGGGACCACATACCGCGCTGAGCATCCCACCGCTGGTACCAGCCGCTGGGGCAAAGAGAGCGGTAGGCGAGCCAGAACTATCACGATGTGTTGGTCAATCAAGCTTTACCACCTAAATCTAATACGCCCAGAACCAGGGACAACTCACCTGGCGGCAGGGAGCGAAGTCCTCGCCCTTGGCAATGATGCATTTGTGGTAGTCGACGTAGTTCTGCCAGCAGTGCTTGGTCTGGTTCTGGTTGGGGAAGCGGGCATCGACGCCTAAAGGAGGAGCGAGAAAAGTGAGATAAGCCGTCCGAGGAACCGTTGCTCGCACATCAACCCGTTCTCACGCATATCGTCCCCATCCAGCTCTTCTCCGGTCCCTGTGCATGCCATGACAGCACCCCATCCCCCTCTACGAACCCGATGATCCATTCCCACGGCAGCTATCAATTCGTTCGCAGGACCGGAGAGGGCGGAAGGCCAATTCAAGGTCGTGAGAGCGGCCCGCAATGGTTCATTGGGATAGGGTTGGGTGTAGCATACCAGCTGTCAAAGTTGTTAGCCACTGACGGTATACTCCGGGACAATTGGTAGGAGGAGAGTAAGATCAGGCCATGTTTTTGTGTGCCTCCGTTGCCGAGGGAATTTGCGGATGGGGCGAGGACCCAGCGTACCTGTGACGAACTTGAAGGGCTTGGTAACACGCTCGTCGTCAGACATGTTGGGCAGAGTGTACGGACGTTTTCACGAAAGGCGACGAGGTCTGGAGGACAGTGGGCGGGGCGGCGGGTTGGTCGAAGGTTTGGCCGGTGATGGATTGACGAGGAGAGTCCGTCAGAAGGTCAGAGCTCGGAAAGGCGAGGTTGCTCTGCTCCGACCAATGATGTGAAATGGTGGGGCTCGCCGGGACAGAACTCTCGCCGCGACTCGATTGGCTGGCGGCCTGAGGCATGCACGTGTTTTTCCTCGGTGGGCTGATCTCACTAGCCAAATCGCGCCGTGGTGGGTTGTGGTGGGGGCGAGCAGCACCTCGCAAGAGAGCAAAGGGAGCTCCTCTCTGCCGGAGCCACACTACCTCGCCAAACCGCTGACCTCTACTTCCCGAAGCTCTCCCAGAAATACCCGAAACGGGCTCAGCGCGAGCGCACACCGTCTCCCTGACTCCCTCAGAGGAACCTCTCCGCTCAATTCCTTATTTTCCAAGATGTTCGCCACGCGTACTCTGCGGATGTTCCGTCCCACGGTCCGTATGATGCGGCCGGTGCCGGTAAGTAGCTTGCCGTAGTGGGAGTGCGTCAGTTTTCAAGATTGCGTCAGGGCTAACTGAGGGGTGCAGAAGGAGGAGCAGGCTGGTACGTGAAACCATTGGGATTTTAAAAGTTTCCGAGAGCTCCGGACTGCTCGACAGGAACACATTGCTGTTTTATCTGGGATGCGGGAGTGATGATTGGAACGGGAGCTGATACGACTGTCATTTCACAGCGCACACTGTCTCTCAGCGTCTGCGGCGCCTGAAGAAGATCCCTCCTGAGCTGATCCCCCTCGGTGAGCCGCCCCCACGATGCAAGCTTGTTCACACCAGGACCACAAACTCATAGGAGCACCGCAGGTGTTGTCGTCAGCTTCGCCGTCTGCGCTGCCGTCTATTCGACCACCCGCCACCTTTTGGTTGACAAGAACATCCGCCTGAAGCGCCAGAACCGGGCAGCTGACCTTCACGTCGAGAAGCATGAGGAACACTAAAAACGAAAAACAAGAATGAGGTTCTAAAGGGGGCACGGATTCATTAGTGTTAGGTAAACAACATTGTATATGACGAACAATCCGACTGGTAGGGAGGCACTTGTGCTTGGTCGATTCCGCTCGTGTGTCTCTGGACTTGTGGCCCGGATGTAAACATAAAGTTCCCATTGCATATCCCTTGATTGACTCAGATGCCTCTAACGCCGCAGCTATGCAAATACCATATGGGTATGCCCTGAAGCTGTGACCAAAATCGCAGAACCCAGTTCATGTCCACGTTCATTACATTCCAGAATAGAGTTGATAGGTACTTCAACTTCTGCACCGTTAAGTAGGGTAGCCTCAAACAGAGAAGTCTTTCATTCTGGCTTGGGCCCTGCAACATCCAGATCCTCAAGCCCCTGCATAGGATCTTCGTTTGGCCTTGCGTTCTTAGCTCGCTCGGCCGCCAGTCGATCCTCTTCGCTGACAGCATGCTCAGCAAGCCACCCCTCCTGTAAGCCATGTCAGTTTCGTCATCCTATCGTCATAGCATTGTATGAGAAGAAACAAAGTGAAAAACATGACTATAGAGAAAACGGACCTGCTCCCAAACAGCTGTCTTGCTTCCCAAGCCTTGCCCGGCGCTCTTAGGTGGCTTGGCTGCCGACACTTTGATAACCCGGCCGAACAGCTCGGATTGATCCATGTTGTCGATGGCCTCCTTGGCATCCTCAGGATCCTCAAACTCGACATAGGCGAATCCCCGGTGCGGCTCTGTTGAGGCCGTGTTGGGGTTCTCATTGCGCGGTAGGTTGATCTCTGCTATCTCCCCGAAGGGAAGAAAAGCTTCATGAAGTACAGTTGCTGTCACTGCGGGGGCTAAGCCACCGACATAAACGGTGGCTTTCCAACGAGCCGCGTCAGACATGGGTTTGGTCGTGAGAAATTTAGTTTCACTGGGTGCTGCTTCGTTCCAAGGCAGCTGGCTAATACGCCCTTGATCACGATCGAGGTTTTCGTATGAGGGGCTCGATGAGAAATCAAAGCATGGCTTGAGGAATGCTCGTTGTTCTGAAAGTTGTGCTCTTAGGTAGCTTCAACCCTGTTTATCGGGAGAACCGGAGGATCCTTTTAAAAAGGCCCAAGATACGGAATTGTCCTCTCAGCAAAATTGTCCAATACTTCACTTGATCGAAGGGAGATTGATGCTGCTTGCTGAGGGTAAAGCAAGACCAAGAGTTGCTGTTAAGGATCACGTGCCGATTGAGTTCTTGGGGAATCTCCACCATCGATCTCGTGAAGGATCAACTCTCAGGTGCATCGAATCGATTGCGCACTGTGCGCACTGTGAGCACCAAGGAAACAAAGGCCGAAAAAGACCAATCATTTTGAGCAGACATTCACAATTAAAACTTTTAGAAACTTTGCCTTTCAAAATTGATGGATTCAATAGCAATAAACCATATAATTCTGTCCAATCGACTTAAATTTTGTCACAACAATGTCTTCTCTTCCAGCCTTTGCGCACGAAGTTTCAAGAACCCAGACGTGACCCCTCCTTGATGACGGTTTCGCTCGGGTTAGGGTTGTACATGCAGGTCAGGGGCAGCTACAGGGCCCAGACCCAACCACTGGGCTGGCGCAAGCATCCCCTGTGGGCTGCTGGGCCTGGACGACGATGCAATCTGGCAACACGCCGCACCGGCTCCCGCCCATCCCCGATTATTTCACTTACACTTTGGACAAGAACAACCCATTTGTCCTCTGCCCTCACGGCTCTTTTGCGAACTGCCGTGGGGCTACTACTGTGGTTTTATTGGAAGCAAGTTCCAATTCTACACGAAACTACAATTGTTCCGTTTAATTCCCCCGCCCCTCTAATAGCTATCGCCATCGACACCGTCAACTCAGCTTATAACCCAACTCCTTACCTATACCACACAAACCGCCGCCATGGTCCGGCTGAGAGAGATTCCGCGGACCGCGGCCTTTGCCTGGTCTCCAGGCACTTCTAGCCCGCTGCTCGTGACCGGTACCCGGTCTGGTGCCGTGGACGCTGACTTCTCGGACGAGTCCAAGCTGGAACTCTGGGACCTCAACCTCGATGTCGCCGAACAGGGTCTTGAGCTGCAGCCCATCGCCAGCATTTCCACTGATTCCAGGTATTATTCCTTTCTCTTTACGGCGCTGTTTGAGCCAAGATAGCTGACTGTTGGCGGTTGGCGCATAGGTTTTACGATATCGCATGGGGCGCCCCAAGTGACCAGCATCCGCGCGGCGTCATTGCTGGCGCCATGGAGGATGGCTCGCTGCAGCTGTGGGACGCCGCGAAGCTCCTCGCCGGCGAGGAGGCTCTGATGTCGCGCGATACCAAGCACACCGGCCCCATCAAGGCCCTGCAGTTCAACCCCTTGCGTCCTCAGGTTCTCGCCACTGCCGGTGCCAAGGGCGAGCTCTACGTCTGGGATGTTAACGACACTTCGACCGCTTTCCGACTTGGCAGTGCTGCTGCCCAAGACATCGACTGCCTCGCCTGGAACTGCAAAGTGGCCAACATTCTGGCTACCGGTAGCGCCGGCGGCTTCGTGACGGTGTGGGATTTGAAGACCAAGAAGGCTTCGCTCACCCTGAACAACAATCGCAAGCCTGTTAGCGCCCTCGCGTGGGACCCTAACAACTCGACCAGCATCCTGACGGCTACTTCTGATGACAACACGCCTGTCATCCTCCTGTGGAATCTCAGGAACTCCCAGGCGCCCGAGAGGACACTTCAGGGCCACGAGCAGGGTATCTTGTCTCTGTCGTGGTGCCAGCAGGACACCGGGTTGCTGCTCTCTGCTGGCAAGGATAATCGGACTCTTGTCTGGAATCCGCATACCGGCGAGCGCTATGGAGAGTTCCCTGAAGCCACTAACTGGACCTTCTCGACCCGCTTCAACCCGCACAACCCGAACTTGTCGGCCACTGCGGCATTCGACGGCAAGATAGTCATCCAGACTCTGCAGAACACCAACCCGACTGCTGTTCCCCAGACCCAGGCTGCCCTAGACGATGATGACTTCTTCTCCCGGGCTGCGACCCAGCCCCAGGGAGTGTCCTTCTCTCTTTCTCGGGCTCCCACCTGGCTGGAGCGTCCTGTCGGTGTCTCGTTTGGCTATGCTGGCAAGCTTGTCATCTTCAAAAAGCACGACACACCGGCCGGTCAGCACAGATCTTCTAAGATCACCATCTCAACCTTCTCTGTCGACTCTGACATTGGCGCAGCTACTGAGAAGTTTGAGGAGGCCATCAAGAAGGGGGACATCGCGAGCATCTGCGACTCCCATATCGAAGCGGCTAAGACTGAGGAGGAGAAGGCTGACTGGCAGGTGCTCAAGACGCTTAGCCAGGATGATGGCCGGTCCAAGATCATCGAGTACCTTGGGTTCTCCAAGGATGAGGAGGCTCGCGAATCTGGGTTGACGTCGCCAAAGGAAGAGAGCGCCGAGGGTGTTACTTCTCCTCAAACCAATGGTGAAGAGCCCAAAAAGAAGAGTCACAAGCGGGTGACGAGCATGTGGGGAGATATTGACGATGGCGATGACTTCCTGTCCGAGCTGACCCCGGCCAAGGGGGCCAAGACGGATGACCCGTTCCATCTCATTGGCGAGGGCTCCTCTGTTGATGATCAGATCACTAAGGCTGTCCTGCTGGGCAACTTTGAGATGGCAGTCAACCTTTGCGTTAAGGAGGACCGTATCGCGGATGCCTTCGTCCTTGCCAACTGCGGTGGCAAGGAGCTTGTGGACAAGGTTCAGAGCAGCTACCTTGCCAAGAAGAAGGGCAGCACCAGCTACCTGCGTCTTATCAATTCTGTCACTAGCAAGAATCTTTGGGATGTGGTCTACAACGCCGACCTGTCCAACTGGAAGGAGGCCATGGTTACTCTCTGCACTTTTGCAGAGCCTGCTGAGTTCCCCGACTTGTGCGAGGCCCTTGGTGACCGCATTTATGAGTCTGGCGAGAGGAAAGATGCTTCCTTCTGCTACCTGGTTGGCTCGAAACTGGAGAAGGTCGTGGATATCTGGATCGCCGAGTTGCAGGAGGCAGAGCAGGCCGGCTTGAGCGAGGAGACCAACGACACCAGCTTCTCCATTCATGCCAGGGCTCTGCAGAAGTTTATTGAGAAGGTTACCGTGTTCCGGCACGTCTCCAAGTTTACGGATAATGAGAAGCAGCTCAGCGAGGGCTGGAAGCTTGCGGCTCTGTACAACAAGTACACCGAGTACGCGGATATCGTTGCTGCCCAGGGGCATCTGGCGGTTGCTCAGCGGTATCTGGATCTCCTTCCGGCAAACTTCCCGGCCGCCGAGGTCGCCCGGAACCGCGTCAAGCTCGCAACCCAGAAGGCGGCTCCTCAGCCCGCTGGTCCTACCGCGCGTGTGCCCTCCCGTACTGCTGCGCCTGTTGGCTACCAGCAGCCCGGCGGTCTTCCAAGCCCGGCAAATCCTTATGCCCCTCCTGCTCCGACTTTCCAAACCCAGGCCCCGGCCCCGGCATCAGCGCCGAACCCGTATGCTCCTACAACTACTTCTCAATATCAACCCCCGACAGGAGCAAGCCCGTACGCTCCTGCTCCTGGCTTCACGCCCTCTCCTTCCATTACCAGCGGCTATGCCCCACCACAGCCAAGTTTCAACCAACCTCCCCCCCCTCCTCAGCCGAAACCTTATGTCAAGAAGGACGTTGGCAATTGGAACGATGTGCCGATGGTTACAAAGCTTCCGGTCCGTCGGTCGACGCCAAGCGCACCGCCGATTACCTCGCCATTCTCCAACCAAGCGGGTACCCAAACCCCTCCTCCTCCCATGGGCGGTTATGGCCGTCCCCAGCCTACCCCCCCGCCGCCGCCACCTAAGGGCCCAGCTCCTCCTCCGCGCAACACTGCTTCTCCGTCTGTCGGGCCGCCGCCAGCAGCTGCTCAGCACCCTCCAAGGCCTGGATCCGTCTCGTCGAACGCATCGACCAACCCCTATGCCCCTCCGCCGCAGCCTGTGTCCAACATCCTGCAGCCCCCTGTCGTTCCTCCTCCTCCACGGACCTCGTCCCCTTACAACCCCCCGCCGGCCGGCCCGCCGCCGTCTAACCGGTATGCGCCAGCTCCTTCGTCCCAGCCCGCACCCGCGGCGCCGCCTTCGGCAAGCCCATATGCGCCACCTCCCGCCATGCCACCGGTAGCTCCCCCTTCGCAGTATGGCCCTCCCCCGCAGGCATCTCGCCCGCCAGTAGGACCCCCTCCTCGGGCTGGCCCTCCCCCCGCGGTGTCGGCCCCCCCTCCGCAGCAGGCTCCTCCGCAGGCTCCCCCCCAGCCGCAATCGCCCCCTCCGCAGCAGCAAAAGCAGAGGCACCCGCCTGGGGATAGGTCGCATATCCCCCCGAATGCGAAGAACATGGTAGAAATACTCGACCGAGACATGCAGCGGGTGGCAGCCAAGGCTCCGTCAACGTTCCTGCCGCAGGTTAAGGACACGCAAAAGCGGCTGGGTATCCTGTTCGATCACCTCAATAATTCGGACCTGTCGGATTGGACGGTCTCCAAGCTGTCAGAGCTGGCGGATGCGCTGGAAAGTAAGAACTACGACGTAGCGCACAGGTTGCAGGTGGAGATTCAGACTGAGAAGACGGGAGAGTGTGGGCAGTGGATGGTAAGTACATCTCTCCTTTTTTTTGACTCTTATTTACATTCATGGGAGAACATTGAGGACATGGCTGACTGGTGTGATGCAGGTTGGTGTCAAGAGGCTGATCAGCATGAGCAAGGCCACTCCTTGAGACCGCACTCGAAGTATGGGATACGGGGTTTGGGATGGGGATAGACTGTATTGTGTAGGTTGTGAAACAGAGGACACAATGTGATCTGGTAGTAGTATTGGCCGTATACACATTTTTCTTGTTTTGACAGATTCCATTCCCTGATGTCGCAGCTCTCCTGCGGTGCCTGTTGTCCGTGGATGCTGTTGGTTGTCTCCGCCCAAACCCGGCGGGCCAATAATCGGAGTCAGCGGCTGGCAGCTCAAGACCACAGATCCACCTGGACAAGCGCTTAACCGTGCCAAGGCCGCCAAGAAAGCCCCTGCGGCTATGATAAGATAAGGATTTCTGGTACACGCAGCTGTCAGCTGCAAAGAACGGACGTGGAAGCAGCCAACACATCAACCACATCACACACCTCACACACACCTCCACAGCATTGCCTGCCTCCGCCTCACCGCACCACGTTGTTTCCCAAGCTGGATTGAAAAAGCCCGCCTCTTCCCCCGCAATTCATCCTTTGTTTGTTTTCTGGTTGACACAACAAAACAAAATCATCACAGGGGGCTTAGAGCTTGCCCAGCCGACACGCGCAACCGCGTTGCGACGACAGGCACAAGGCACGCGACCTCTAGTAGCAATGACTGAACTCACCCCCGAGCAGGAGGCTGCCGCCCTCCGCGCCGAGGAGCAGGCTCGTCTGCGCAAGGCTCGTCGCGAGGCCAAGATCAAGGCTGGCGCTGCCCATCGCCTGAACACCATCACCGGCCTGGCGAGTGGTATTCCGCGAGGTTAGTTTCCATCTGTTTCAGCCGCGCCGAGTCTACGGCGATTCTGACCCATCCTGTCAAACAGCCAATACGGCTTCTTCGCTCGACTCGAATCCCACTCCCGTCGCCCCAACCGCCGGCCCGACCATCATCTCCAGCTCCATCCAGAAAATCACCACCGAGCCCGAGGAAATCAACCTCGCGCAGCACTTCTATCGCCCCGGCCAGTCCCGCACGCTCTCCCTTCCCGTCACCTTCGAGACCGCCGCCTCCAGACTCGACATGCCCCCTGCGGGCCGCCGCAACCCCTACACCTTCGGCGTCAACAGCAAGCAGATGCCGCCCCCCGCCGAAGAAGATCCCATGCTGAGTCTCATGTCTAAGATCCTCTCGCCAAACGCCGCTGTTGGCGGCATCAACAGCCGTCCGCCCTTCGGCCCACAGTCTGCTCAGAGCCAGCAGAACCAGATGCCTATCCTGCCTCCGCGCCCCACGCCCCTCTGGCGCTTCCTGCACACCCTGCTTGCTGTCGCTCTCGGGCTGGCCGTTATCATGCTGTCACCATTCGGCGGCACCAAGCTGGAGCGCGACCGCGCGGCTGCCGCTGTGGCCGGGTCGGCATCGGAGAGAGAGTGGCTAGCCTCGCTGACGGATAGCTATCCGCTTGTGAAGACGGGTCTCGGAGGGGGCCTGTTCTGGGCGTTTGCCACGGGCGAGGCGATCCTCCTGGGCACGAGGTGGCTGTTCCTTAGCAAGAAAAAGAAAGCTGCTACTGCCGCAGCGAAGGTAAATAACAACAATGGGGAGGGTGATGATGCCGAGCTGGATTCCGTGGAGCAGGCGATTGAGCTGGCGCTCGAGTTCTTCCCTGCTATTCGCCAGCCCGTGGAGTATCTCAGGCCCAAGGTGGCGGTTGCGATGCGATATGTTGATGTGGGCATGACTCTGTGGCGGGATGTAATGCTGGCCCTGTTTGTGCTCGGGGCAGTGGCTTGGTGGAGGGCTTGATTAATTGATGTTGTTTGTTTATAGTCAGGTATTTTAAGACATGCCATTCTTTTAGAGCTGGACTCCCTTAAGTGAGTGCGCGACATAGCTATGATTGATGCTCGATAAACGGGCTATACAGCATGGATAGTCATGGAGATATGAACAGACAGGGAAATGCCATTAATCGATACTTAAACGTGGGCTATGAGTTTCGATTAGTGAGGAGACTGTGTACGACCGATGGTGTGTGTTTCTAAGTTGGGAAGGATACAGGTTGTCTCTATAAAGTGAGTTATCGGGAGCTTGCTGTCAACCAGGCCACTACAAGACTTAAGCTTGCTCATGGTGTAGTGGTAACGTACTCTGTACCCAGCGTCTCGTCCCCTAATCGAGGAAAAAAGTCTCCGAAACTGTTGAGAGGCCACAGTGCCTTTTTTTTCCCTGGATTTGAGTCCGGATGCAGAAGGGGTTCAAGCTTGTGTTGTTGGGGTTTCGGCTTTCATCTCATTTCCTTGCATCCTCAAGTGGTTGCAGTCAGATATCGACCTCGCGTGCTCTTTGTTCAGGGCTCTTTATGAAGTTTATCCATAAATAGTGGTATCAAATTCTCAATTTTCAAAATCTGAACTTAGATCATCCAGCTTTTATCACGGACCATATCCTACCATTCCATGCCTCTTAATCTGCTTCCCAAAGAATAGAGCCAGTTGCGACTGCAATCCTACCTGTTGGCTGTACGCGTTGCATTGAAATCCGGATTCTGCATGATAGAGCGGATATCTGTCCCCGCGAATGCTGTAAGTATATGTGTTGAAGCGCATTTCTGTTCTATGCTATTGGTTAACGCATAGAGGGATGGCAAAAGTTTGTCAGCTAGTAGAGTATCCTTACGTGCTGGGTTGACTTCAAGGATCTGTGAGGCAATTGTGCTCTTGATTATGCTTTCTCTATTCTGTCCCTGACAAGCCACCCAGGTAATAATCCATACTTGTACATATCTTTTCACAGTGTTGGTCAATACCAATATTAATACCAATACCATTACTGTTGCTTGCTTTGCCCAGCATGCAACCTACCAGTAGTCCATGGTATACCACGTGCTGCCATCTTCTGTGATCCCATCAATCATGAGCTTCAAAGAGATACAAGACAAGAAAACAGCTCAAAAACAAAAAAAAAAACACATCCGTGATGAAAACGGGAATGCTTGCTCGTTCGTATGCTCCAGATCCCAGCCATCCCTTGCCCAGCTTGATGTCCTGTACCAGCAACTAAAAAGCAAGTATGGTAACGCTATGGCACATACAAAACGGAAGAAATAGCTAGAAAATAAATAGTTCAACCACGCCTCAGAAGAACTTCGCCAACGCCCTGCTAAGGTCGATGAAGTCTACTGGCTTGGTAATGTAGTCGCTGAAACCGGCCGCGACGCACTTGTCATGCACGTCGGACATGACGTTGGCTGAAAGGGCAATGATAGGGAGTTCGCGGGATTTAGAGGATTGTGGTTGTTTCGATTCTAAGGACGGAGCTGGCTTGACAGCGGTCGTTTCAGGGGGTGTGCAGTGTTGGGTATCATCACCAGACTGCTGGGCTTGAGCAGCATGTTGCTGCTCTTGCTCCTGGCGCATCTTAGCCTCCCAGGCTCTGATCTCACGACAGGCTTGATACCCATCCTTGCGCGGCATATGAAGGTCGCACTGTTTGTCTCTCAGTCAGTCATCCCTTCCCACAATTCAAAAATGAAAAACAATTCTTCAAGGACATACCAAAATCAACGAGTAATACCCCCATCCTTTCCCCAGCACCAACTGCATACACTCCTCTCCGTCGCTTGCGACCTCAACTTCCACACCAACCCTCTTCAAATACTTGCTCAGCACCTTCTGGTTGACCGGGTTGTCTTCGACCAGTAAGACCCGATAGCCCTTCCCACCAAGCCGCCGCTCCATGTCGACATAGCTCTGCCGCTGGTCCTCGACCAGCCGCTGGGCTGTGGATTTTGTGTGGTCGTAGAAGCGCGCGTGCTCCGTGCTGGTCGGACCGGGGTCGAAGACCGCTGCGAAACGGGCGGGCTTGACAGGCTTGTAGATGTAGGTTACTCGGTGGGGTGGTTGTGAGAGTTGGTTAGCGGGTATGGCGGAGGGAGTGGCATAAGAGAGGAGGGCTGCTTCGTGACGGGTGCCGATCGCGAGTTTGGCGACTGCCTGGCGCTGGACGGAGTCGGAAAGAATGAGAATGAAGGCTTTGTTGGCGTCGTCGGTTTCATCTTCCACGCGAGCAACAATGTCCATTAGGGCTAAGATCTCCTCCGGCGATGGCAGATTGATGACAATGTGTGTGTACTGCGGGCCTTTCCCTTTCCCTGTCTCGAGAAGCTTTTCCGCTTCGTCGACCGAGCCAACAGCCGTGATCTGATGTGGTACCCCTTTCGGGAGCGTCATCTCAATGTGTTTTACAGTCGCCTCGCGGCTGTGGGTTTGTGGACATATGATTAAAATGGAGTAACGAGAGGGAAGAGTATGGCCAACAACAGCCTTGCCGCCCTCGGTAGTCCCTTGTTGTGCCTGTGGCCGAGGAATCTGGAGCTTCATCCCAGAGAGCTCCTGACCGCTGGCCTTCTCCGCCTGGCTTAACCCTGCCAAACTAGCTGCATTAACAGCCGCTGGGTATGGTGCAGTAGAAACAGACGACCGACCTGTAGTCGCAACGGTCGGTACCGACGACGACGAACAGGATCCCGACCCCGACAGCTCTGAGCTCGCACTACACGACATCATTTCAGGGGACATGGCGACGGCCTGATCAACCGCCGTCGCAACAGCATGGTAAACATCCACAAGTTCGACCGGAGATTGGGGCATTGGCGTCTCCCCTGGTGTGGTAGCTGACGTGGGCTGCGGCATCAGAGCCTCCTCATCGGGGTGGTCCGTCTCTGTTGGCAGGCCAAACTTGGCAGTGAAGGTGAAAGTCGACCCCTTACCTGGCACCGCGGTGCCCTCCATCTTGCCGCCGTGCAGCTCAACCAGTTGACGTGAGATAACCAGCCCCAAGCCGCTACCGCCATGTTGACGCGTGCTGCTCCCATCAATCTGACTGAACGGCTTGAAGATGAGCTCGGCTTCAGCTTTGGTAAATCCGCGCCCGGTATCGATGACCGAGAACTCCAGCATGATCTCGTTTGGGTGCAGCCGCACGTTATCCTCTCGCGAGGGGACAAACACACGGCACCGGCTGAACACTTCTCCCTTATTGGTGAACTTGATGGCGTTGCCGATCACATTAAGCAGCACCTGTCTAATGCGCACGCGGTCGCCCTTGACCCAGTCAGGCACGTCCTCCTCGACGACATAGTTGAGCTCGAGACGCTTCGCGACAGCCATCGTGGACACAAGGTCATTAACATCCTCGATCAGCGAGCGCGTATGGAACCACTCGTAGGTCAGCTTCATCATGCCCGCGTCGACCTTGGACAGATCGAGAATGTCGTTGATGATCATCAGCAAGCTGCTAGCACTGGTCTGGATCGTGTTGGTGTAGTCACGCTGCTCTTCATTCAGCGTGGTGTCCTGCAGGAAGCTGACCATGCCCGAGATGCCGATGAGAGGCGTGCGGATTTCATGCGACATGTTGCTGAGGAAGCGACTCTTGGAGTCCATAGCTTCCTTGAGTTTTGTTTCGAGCAGCTTCAGGTCGTTGATGTCCGTTGCCGAGCCAAAATATGAGCTGACCCCATTGCCGAAGTCGACGTTGTCAATCTCAACACACCGTACGAGGTGCCATCGGTACTCGCCGGACTTGGCTCGCAGCCGTATCTCTGTCGTGTACGACAGCCGCCCACTGCTGTCTCTCGAAACGCGTATGACACCCTTTTTTGTGAGTTCCGTCAGGCTTGGTGACGCCAGCTCGGGAGTCGAGGCTTCGTCATCCTCGCCCTCTTGATCCCCTTTCTTCTTTCCCTTCCGAATGACCGCCGGAAGTTTACACTTTGCCAAATCGTCGGGATGCACGAAATCCATGAACCCAAGCCCAAGCGAATCCTGAAAACTCTGTCCCGTATATGATAGCCATTGCTCATTAGCAAACGTGACCCCTTCATCCTCTGTCGCAGTGAAAATAATCTGTGGAATCAGATTCGCCAAGAGCCGATGCTTTGCCTCACTCGCCTCAATCTCCTCTTGCCTAGCCGCCCTCAGCTCCGCGATATGCTGATCATGAATGTCCATGTAACTCCCCAAGAACTGCATAATGACCCCCCTTTTATCCCTTGACGCCACGGCTCTGGCATAAAACCAGCGGTATGCACCATCAAACCGGCGAATCCTCACCGTACGTGAGAACTGCTCGCCAGTACGTACAGAATGGTTCCACGCCCTCAGATATTCATCTCGATCGTCGGGATGTATGCTGCCCCAGGGGTCGAGGGCGAGTTGGGCGGAGGTCAGACCGCGGTAGGACAGGAAGCGGCTGTTGACCCAAACAATTTCGCCTGTTTGGGGGAGGGCGACGAAGACGTGGACCGGAAGAAAGTCGAGAATAAGGCTTTTGAGTTTGTCAGATGGGGGTGTCAGGTCGGCTTGGCGGGAAGTCGTAGAAGAGGATGGTGCTCCTGTTGGCTGAAAAGAGAACATGGTAGAAATTGAAGGGAGAGATTGAAAAGTTGATGAGAAGTCGGCGCCGCATGAATGAAGCTTTGTGTGCCGGCGTGGTGTTTCCGCCGTCGGTTGCTTCAGCTTTTCCTTGAGACGACGAGGAATGGCAGGCTGGACATCTTCAGGCTGCCGAAAGGCTTGTCCAGACGAGGACTCCAAAGCATCCAGTGACGGGGGCCGCTCGAATCCATCCGAGTATCTCCTTGCTCGTTGTCCACAAAACTCTGGAGGAACACTCCTCGGCGGTCTGCCAAAGTATCCCTCAACCCCAGCCCTTGATGGACTGAGCAGAAGTCTCCCCACTTTAGCTTCCCGCCCTGGGGTCGCAACAGGCGAGCAAATTGCGCTATGTGACAGCCCTGAGTGGTCGCTGGGGCTAGTTGTGCTGCCTGCAATCGAGTCCCTTGGTGTGCCTTCCTCCTCGACGGCGAGGTTGCGCTCAGCCAAAAACGTCAAGGCCGCATTAGGGTCACTTAGGGGTCGACCATCCGGTTCGAGAGTTCTAAATCCGGAGGCTTGTGGTCTGCGTTTTTGCAAACCAATGAGTTCTGTCTCGAGATTAGTGTAGTGACGGGCAAGGGAGAATGTTGTCGCCAAGTGAGGAGAGAGATGCTCCAGTGAATGGCGCAAGTGGGAAGGGTAAGGAATCAAGGGACTGAGGATGGAGATGATGGCAATCGGAGCCTGCTTTTCCTTCGGTGGTCTCCCAGGGGATGGCTCTGTCGAGATGGAAGTAGGAACACTTCCCGATTTCCTCGCCAGCTTCTGCTCCATCAGTTTGGGGTTCAGCCTGAACGATGGGTTCGGTTTGGACAACAGCACATGTGTTAAAGGAATGTGCAACACAGTCCAAGTGTTGTGGTCAATGCCGATAGCCTCTGGGGGAACCATCTTTGAGTAGTCTGGAGAAGCCGAAGCTGGATTGAAGGTGTCTTCATCGACCATTGCATCAGTAAAAAAAGGGTTCTCAGCGGGTTCGGGTCGCACCGCGGGAGAAGGGGCTGGTGATTGAGACCAAGGGGACGGCGGCGCCTGCTCGTATTCCTCATACTTTGGCGTCGGTACCGCTGGCGGTGATTCTTCTCCAAGACGGGAAGCAAACGTGCTTCTCCCTTCGCAGGGTCTCAGAGACCTGGAAGAAGATGGCCGATTTGATGACCCAGGGGATGGAGTGGCGCTGCTGAGGAAGGAGGATAATTTGCCAGAAAGAGATTCCGATCGTAACCGTTTCGACTTCTTCCTGACCATCTCAGCTGGCTTTGGTGCAGATGCAGGTCGAGAGTCGGATGACTTGGCTTGGGCAGGCTCTTGATTGGGATAGGGGTACGTTCTGGTCAAGGCCACAGCGCGTCCACGTTCCAAGATGCGCAGAACACCATTGTGATCTATTAAAGGGTCGGACTCGTAGTCAAGCGGCTGAAGAGTGCTGAAGACTTTCCCACGAGTGCGCTTCGGGGCCGTTAGCGGTACTTCCCAGCTTGGAATATCTGGATGCTCCTCCGCGGTTGCACAGCACTCTGATACCTCTCGACTGGGACTGGTCGGCTGACCCCCATCTTGTTTCCCGGAACTTTGATCTGAAGACGTTGCCTGAAAGCCTGATTTGCTACTTGCGGATAAACAGGGTCGATGCGGAAGTCCTGACGTTGGGTACTCTGCTGTTTCCTCCCTTCCTTCGTCTTTTGAGACTGGGACTGATCCGCAGCTTTTAGCCATATGAATATCACATTTCCCCTGACGATTGAATGTAGCCTTCTGGCCCCACGGCACGTTTTCGATATCAGTTGGGTCTGCAGGGACAGTAAGCGTCACTCTTTCAGCATGGTAGTAATCAACCATGATCTGGACAACCGAATTCCACCATGCATCCAGCCCAGGCTCGGAAGAGAGCATCAAAGTTAGGTCGTAAAGGTTTGGGCTTTGCACTGAGTGTTGTTGAGTCGTAGGTTGGGCGAGTCCGGATGGCAAGAAAGGCGTGGCTGAGCTTGGTGTAGAAATGCTCGTAACCACAACGTCGTGCCCCTTTGACAGATGAGAATGGGGCTGTTGTTGTTGTTGTTGTTGTTGTTGTTGTTGTTGTTGTTGTTGTTGTTGTTGTTGTTGTTGTTGTTGAGATCCTTCTGGGGGGAATGAAAGGAGAGCGTGATGGAAAAGGAAGGCGTCCAATGCCGATAGTCTTCGCTGAAGAGCTCGACACCATACGTGGGAACGGATATGATGGTGTTCGCATGGCTAGCCCGGGCGTTGTCGGTGACTTACGGATCGTTTGTTCAGAGTCTGTCGATGCTGTTGTTGGCTCGGGCCCTGGTCGAGGGTCAGGTCGCGGTTGGGGTTTTGTTATAAGCTTCGACATGACTGCATGTTCTTCGTTCAATGAGCCTTCCGATCTCTCCGTCTCGCGAGCAAGCTCTTCTCGATACGAGCTTAACTGACGTTGAGCATCTCTCGGTTCTGTCTCCGAATGATTCTCAATATGTCGCCCAGAAATGCCGTGCACTAGAAGGTGAGTGTTGTTGCTCTTCTTTCCGGAACCAGTGATCTTAATCAGCGAAGTCGGCGCCTGAGGGTCGCGCTTGGAATCCCCGTCAGCGTCTTTGTTGGTTTGTATTGGTTCCTCTTTGGAACCCTCGGAATGCCGAGGAGTTGTGGTCATTTGGGCTAATGTTGTCGATGGTGATGGGGTGAAGGGAGCCACTGCATTGCTATCAGTCCCTTCTGGGAAGAGAGTTTGTGCACAACCAAAGCCTTTGGTCAAGTATATTCGTAGGTTAAAAGACAATCATGCGATTTGTCCGAGAATACAGGCCATAAAGGTCCACGGTGGGAAGTAACCCGGACACCTAGGACAGAATGGCCCCAACCAACAAGACACACCTACGGCGTTGAAGAAGATTGGCGTGGGCGGTGCGCCAAAGGTAAGAGACCAGTTACTGCCAACACACGAATAGAACAGGTTGATGTTGATGCTCCAACGGTAATCTCACGATAGATAATCACCATGAACAACACAATCAGCAACAACCCTATTGATGGGTGGATTGTGCGGTAGAATCGTTGTCCTTGCTAGGGGTGGCTGGCGTTGAGAAATGCGCCAATTCGTATAATCGGGGATGTCGGGAGCTTTGACCGCAGAAGAAATGGGATCTGGTTGGACAGAATAAGGACGACGTTGTATGAAAAGTGTTTTCATGTGGTCGTGGGGGGATGGGATTGGTGATCTGCGCTGCGAATCAAGGTGTCCAGCTTTCGCGATGAGTTGTTAGGGAGCTGGCCAAGCAGGGGCCAGTGTAGTGCAATAGGAAGTGTATTGATTATGCAGGGACGATGTACACACGACGACCATTTGCCCCAGTGCCAAAATTTGGAAGCTACCTTATGACGTTATCACCCAAAAGCGTGAAGTCGAATGTGGGAAAAAGCAAACGGGGGTCGTCCGGGGCCTTGATCTTTTGATGGGCCGCGGTTGAGTGCTCGCTTGGTTGCACAGGCCAAGTGCACCATACAGTCGAGGGAATATAACAATGCAGTCCCAAATTCCATGGAAAGCGAGGCATGGAAACTCCATGAATCAATCGGGGATCCAAGACATCCACTCGTTGTGCGCTTCATGAACCTTCGATGCGCCACTGTCAGACGAACGGTAAACTATGCCCCACCACAAATGCAGCGCCAGCTAGTTCGTTCGGCTCTGTCTAGCCGTTGGCCGTGGCAGGCATTCATTGCGCAAATCGCAGAGTCGGTGAGTCTGGGATGAAAAGGCCAACAAGAGGTTTGCTACTGGCTGGAAGATACAGATCGAAGCCACATAATGTGGCATCTCCAACTTTTTTTTCATTAACTTGAAATGCAAATTTCCCCTCCCCCCTTCTTTGCTCCCCCCTTTTGCCAAGGCCCTCCAACATTGCATCCGAAACCCACCTCGGAGCCGGCGACAGTGCACCATCATCTGAGCGTCACCCGAAAACAACGTCAGCGACCCTTTAGGGCTTGCCATCCCACCTAGTAAAAAACCTGGCAGCGTGCCGGAACGGCAGAGACAAAAAGAAACAGGTCGGACCTGTGGTACGGTGAGAGCCCGTACACCGAGCCTTTGAAACAGGATCTCGGCAAGCATTGGGATGCCGAAACGGGAGAGTTACCTGAACAAAAGGGCTGTTACCTGGTGTGGGGGGAATAAGACGTAGACTACTCATCACCGCACGGCGGGGACTGGTGTCGGGATGGATGGAATGTCGTGGCAGATCCCTAAGAAAATTGGATGCAAGACCCGATGACGTCAGAGGCAACCAGGTCGCCTGTGGGGAGCCGTTCGTTGGAAAAGGGGCAAAAATGTGATTGGTCAACAGGAACCACTTACGCCTTGGCATCATCGGAACAACCTGCCTACACTGTCTGCAGCTGAGAACAGCTGAAAATTGGGGCTAGACGCACAGTGACGGTTGGTTTCGCTGAAGTATTCAAAATATGGAAGATGGACACGGCAAGGAGAGAAATCTCACACAAACTTGTATTGGAAGGTTAAGAACGCCGGATAAGTTCAGGAAAATGTGTTGTAACTCTCATGACTGCTGACTGCTTTTTGTAGAGATACGCACCAACAAGCCATGATTCCGTCTGGGCTTTGGGGACTTAAAGTAGCAAAATGGACCGTAAGATTACGGTTACACAGATACTTAGCCAGGAGACAAAGTTAAGAACCCCTCATCCACTTTCCTAGGAGCCAGTGATCTGCGATAAATGCAAGGACAAAACATCCTGCCATACTTAAGTGGCAAAAATATAGTTCCCAAGATGTCACCTCTGGAACTCTATCGGTTTATGGGGCGAAGCATGGGCTTGGCCAATCACAGATCACAGCTTTGGTAAGGTTACGGATTACTGCTTGCCGTTTCGCACTACTTGGAGCCCCACTTTTTTGTCCTCGAATAAGGCTTCTCCCCCAAAAACATCAGGACCCTGAACCACAAAGGCAGCAACAAGCCAACTAACAGCCCTGTCATTACTCGCCGTCAGCAATTGACTTTGGCGACGCTTTCATACCGGGATGTGAAACATTCCTGCCCAAGTTCTATCGCCAAAATCAATAACCGGCGAAACCTGCGAGTCGCGACAGTCCTGACTTTCATCGCGGTCAGTTTGCGGAGCATTCCCATTCCCTCGTCAACCCTATATCCCCGGATTCCGGCAAGTAACCATCACCATGGCCGACTCTGATGGCGAGTATGTCGAGGATCTTTCCGACGATGAACTGCACGATCACCGCCCCGCTGAGGCAGGTCCTCACGGCGCCCGCTCCAAGGCCGGCGCCGGCAAGAAGCGCGATGGAAAGAAGGGAAAGAAGGGCTCCTCTCGCCATACCAAGGCCGCATGGGAGGACATCCAGCGCTCGTGGGAAAATGTCGTCGAGACAGAAGATGGTAGCATCACAATTGAGGCCCTCATCGAGGCAGAAAAGCGCCGCCGCTTGATGCGCGACACCACACCGCTGCAGAGAGGAATCATCCGTCATCTGGTGCTGGTGCTCGACATGAGCTTTGCCATGGCCGAGAAGGACTTGCTGCCGAACCGCTATCTGTTGACCCTCAACTACGCCGTGGATTTCGTGAGGGAATACTTTGAGCAGAACCCCATCAGCCAAATGGGTATCATTGCCATGCGCGACGGCATTGCTGTTCGCGTCAGTGACATGAGCGGGAACCCGGCCGACCATATTGAGAGGTTGAGGTTTTGGGCAGAGCATCAGGAGCCTCAGGGTAACCCGAGTCTGCAGAACGCCTTGGAGATGTGTCGCGGTGCTCTCTAGTACGTTTAGCTTTTCTCCTTGGAAACACATCTGCCCACTGACACAAGCAGCCACACCCCTTCCCACGGTACCCGCGAAGTCCTAATCGTCTACGGCGCCCTGCTATCTAGCGACCCCGGCGATATCCATGAAACAATCTCTAACCTAGTCAAGGACCGAATTCGCGTCACTGTCGTCGGACTAGCAGCCCAGGTTGCCGTCTGCGCCGAGCTCTGTACCCGCACTAATCACGGCGATGACTCGACCTATGCTGTCGCTCTGCACGAGCAACACTTCCGCGAGCTGTTCCTGGCGGCTACGATTCCGCCGCCAGCCACAGCATCATCCGCAACAGACAAGAACGGGGCCAATGGCAACGCGAATGCGGCTTCCACAGATGCGTCGCTTCTCATGATGGGCTTCCCTTCACGCACACTCGCATCTGCCAGCCACGTCTCCCTCTGTGCCTGCCACAGCAGACCTTCGCGTGAGGGATACCTCTGCACGCGCTGTCGCGCCAAAGTGTGCCGGTTGCCTGCTGAATGCCCAGCCTGTGGTCTCACCCTGATCCTAAGCACCCACTTGGCGCGCTCCTATCACCATCTCTTCCCTCTGAAAGGCTGGGTTGAGGTGTCCTGGGCAGAGGCACGCAAGAGCAAACAGGTTGGGTGCTTTGCTTGCTTGGCGCCATTTCCCCTGCCTCCGGCTCCAGGCTCTGAGAAAACAGGGAAAGAGCCGACACAAAAGACACAAGGGCAAGCACAGCAACCCCCGCAGGAGCGGCAAGGGTCGTCGTCGAACAGTAACAATGCAAAGAAGACGACTGGTATCTCCCTCGCGACTGCTCTGCCTGAGGCGAGAGCGGTCGGAGTCAGCGAAAGTGGCCGCTATAAGTGCCCTACGTGTGGAAAGCACTTCTGCATCGACTGCGATGTATTTGCGCATGAGGTCATTCACAATTGCCCCGGATGCCAGGCTGACATGCGACCAAAGCAGGACGCAAGCAGCAACAATATTGGCCCGGCCAATGGGCTTAATAATGTTGTGGATGGGGATGCTATGGTGCTCGACTGACCAAATGACCTAATTATGTTCACGTTTAGGGAGGAATTAGGGTAGGTAGAAGACCAGATACCAGGAAGTTTACCTGATTGATTTTTGCCCTTTCACTGGCGTTGGATGGGAGGGGTTCATGATTTAGAAGCAAGACTCGGGCTCGAAAACGGAGCAAAACAGAATAATACGCGTTTGGTGCTGGGACAAAGGGATCATGATGCGAAAGAAAGGGTTGGAAGAATCCTTTATATTGATCCCAAAAACGGATATCAAAACATCACGAGACATCGTAAAGCGCTTATGTACAAAAATAAAAAGAAAATCAATCCCAAAGCATCATGTTCATGTTTTCCTAAAACGCCATCATCAACCCCTCCTACAAGTTGCCGCGCGCCGCCTGCTCCCTCTCAATCGCCTCAAACAAGCTCTTAAAGTTACCAGCGCCAAACCCATCAAAATTGTTGCGCTGAATGATCTCAATGAACACCGTCGGTCGATCCATGAGCGGCTTGGTGAACAGCTGCAGCAGATAGCCCTGCTCATCATAGTCGATGAGGATGTTCAGCTTCTCAATCACATCCATATCTTCCTTCAATTCCCAGTTCCTGTGCTCGGTCTTCAACCTCTGCCTCATCGTCTCATAGTACGTCTTGGGCACATCAATGAACTGAACACCCCTGGCACGCAGCGAGCTGACCGCGGTGACGATGTCTGGCGTGAGCAGAGCGATATGCTGCACGCCAGGTCCCGAGTTGAAGATAACGTACTCCTCGATCTGGCTCTTCTTCTTGCCGGGCGCCGGCTCGTTGATGGGCATCTTGACCAATTCGTTGGGCGACGCCATGACGATGGACCGCAGTGCGCTGTATTCGGTGCAGATCTGCTTGTCGTCGACCGACCAGAAGCGGTGGAACGACAGGCACTGCTCGTAGAAGTCGCACGCGCTGACCATCTGGTTCCAGTCCTGGTTGCCGACGCAGTGATCGATGCGCGCGAGAGGGACCGTGGGGAGCTCAACGGTTGCCGGAGACGGTGTGACGGCCCGGAAGCCCGGAAGGAAGGCGCCACGGAAGCCGGTACGCGAGATCAGAGTGTGGGTGGTGTCGCCGTAGGTGCGGATGATGGCAGTGCGGACGAAGCCCGTTTCCTTGTCGCCGAAGCTGGTGGGCGGCTGGACGGCCTCAGCACCCGCGGCCACGGCACGAGCATAAACGCCATCAACATTGTCAACCTCGAAAGCAACATCCTTGACGGCATCGCCGTGCTTCTCCTGGTGGTCATGCATCTCCTTCAGGAGGGCACGCTCCTCAGGAGAGATGACAGCATCCTCGGGTAGGTGGACGTAAGAGCGCAGCGGCGAGGTAAAGACGAAGCGAATGTCGCCGTTCTGAACAACATATGAGGCAAAGTACCGGCTGCCTGTCTCAAGGCCACGGTAGGCGATCGTCTTGAAGCCGAAGTGGCTAGTGTAGTAGGCCGCTGCCTGCTTCGCATTGCCCACCCACCAAGTGATATGGTCGTACCCAGAGAAGCTGGGCGCCGAGTTCTGGGCGCTGTAATCGGTGTCAGAGATGGCAAAAGGGGCCATGATAGCTTTGTCGATGAATAGAGGTGAAACAAGTTAAGGGGAAAGGTTGATGAGATTACTATACTAGGAAGTATACAAGAACGGGCTTTGTAAGTTGGGATGAAGGTTGTACCCAAAAGCTGGATCACAAGAGGCAAGGGAGGAGCACGGAATCTTGTAGACTTGATATATACCTGAGCACAGAATGGGGTTGGGATGAGAAAGCCGACGGAGCAGCGCCCCTGTCTTCTCCAGGTCCCCGCGGGAAGGCGACATTCAACAATACCGCGATGCTGGCTCACGTCACACCCCCAGTGACCAGCCTGGAGTCAATCCTGCCTTGCCTGGGTGTTCCGCCGAACCTCTGCACTACTCCAATCGTTGTCATCCCAACTGTCAGCCTCCTCTCATCCTGCGGTGTTCCATCTCGGCAACAGCACTCTATACCTTGCAAACGGCTTCCCCATGGATGCCGGCACTGGTACGGAGTCAGAATATCATCCTCATCGCAACAAGCAGCCATTGTCTAGCTCTGCTATCAGCAACAACGACTGGTAAAGCCGAGTCAAGCAGTGCCGATGAGGCGCTGTTGTCGCGTCGGTGGAGTAGCGGAAATGTCCCCGTAGTGCATAGGACTCCGGTCAAAGCCGTCCAATGCCGACTCTGGCCGAGCGCCGTAGCTCCAGATCGATGTGACCCCCGCGACCCCAGCCCGAGCGGCGGCGGCCGGGAACGGTCAGCAACGGCGATGCGATCCAAGTTACATGGCTATTCAGGGTCCTGCTGCGAGCTGCAATGCGGCACGGGACCGCCTCACGTTCCCGGATCCAGATGCCGGGGATGCAAGTAAAATGGGGTTGACTAGCTCAGATTGGCCATCCTTTGACACCGTACCCAGCCGTTCCTCTTTCTTGTCTCATTTTGGTTGCTAGTCCTCGCTGAGAGTTTGAAGCACTGAAGCATTACAGTTCGCACATAACCATTGTTGGTTGATTCATTCCGCCTCGGTGTTCAATTCGCAAACATTGTCTTCTATTGCTTTGCCCCCCTATTGACCATCAACCTTGCGAAAGAGCGACCTGTAACCATGGCATATGTCAATGTTGAGCTGAGCCGGAGGGACATCAACGTCCTTGAAAAGATCAAGGACCCAGAGTCCAACCCATATCTTGCGCCTCACATCGACCCATCTCTCCCGAAGGACCCGCACTTTTCAGACGAGGAGTACCAGAAGCTTGCTCAGCAGGAACGTGACATTATTCTGTCTATTCAGAACCTCGAGATTCAACATGCCAAGCAGCAATCCGCCGACCTGACAGCAATAACTGAGGGCTATCGCACATGCGTCTCACGCCTCAGCGACCTCATCCAAGCTCATCCACAATACGCCAGCGCTCGCAACAACCGGGCTCAAGCGCTCAGACGGCTATATGGAGATTCAGTCCTTATTTCTGATGCTCCCCGGAATCCACAGACATTGCTTCACGACGTCTCTGATGTCGAAAGGATCGAAGCAGCCAACACTATTCTGGGCGACCTCTGCGAGGCCATTTCTCTCGTTTCTCCAAAAGTTCCGTATGGCAGTCGGGTGTCCCCCCAGGTCGCAAGGACACTTTCAAACGCTCACACTCAGCGCGCTGCGATCTATCTTATGACGTCGAAGCTTCTAGGGTCCGAAAAGTCGCTATCGATGGATCCTGCAAGACCCGAGTCGCGCTGGACGAAGCTGGATTTCGAAACCTTTGCATCGCAGGACTTCGCCATGGGCGGGAGGTACGGCAATGAAATTGCCAAAGGGCTTGCAGTAAGCACAAACCCGACCGCCAAGTTGTGCGGCCAGATGGTTCGCGAGGCGATGAAGAAGGAGTATGGACCAGATTTTGCGGCATAATTCACATTTGAGAGGGTTTATTGTCGGGTTTGGTTTTAGCGGTTCATTATCCGAGCAATTGGCGATAGTATAGGCGTTCTGGGATTGTCATATATATGGCTCTGCATTGAAAACGGAGCTGGATTCGCAGGCATTGATAAATACAGCTCAGTTACGTACTCATGCCGAATCCGAGGCGTCTATGATAGTGACACTGTATAAGTACAAAGATATATCTTACATGTAATTATGGTTGATAACCGTACCTGCGTAGGGCAGAGAGGGTTTCTTGAGTCGTTCTACCCTTCTCTTTTTCCTCGCGGTTGATTCTCACAACCGCAGCTGAAACGCCAATGAACACGCCGAAAATCGGATCGGCGACACGAGAGATGATGTAGGTCGGGGCGGCCATTGTGAAATATGACGATATATTGAAAGGGTTGAGGATTTAGGAGAGCAGAGTAATTGGTGAAGGGAAGAAGCTTCAATGTCCCGCAGCGGCTTGAACTTCCCCCAGAGCACCGAGGACCCCACCTGAACCAAGTGCTTGGCCCCCCTGCCCCAGATTCCAGGATTTAGGAGAACGTCGCCTGTGCACAGACCACTATTAGTCAGCCATTTCGACCAATGTGAGAGCCAGCCCACTCGAATTTTGACAGCCCACAAACTGTAAATTATTTCGGCGAAGACCTTCAAGGCCCGGTTCTGTCCTCTCTCTCCGTGCCCGCAGTCGCTTTCAGGGAAAGGCCCGAGGAAACATCAGGTATGTTTTCGTGCCTGTTCACGTTAATACGTCAACCTGCAGTTATTCAGGTTCACTGACTTCATAATTGCGCACAGAACCGACAAGATGAAGTTCCTTAAGACATCGAGGGTTTGCCTCGTTACCCGGGGTCGCTATGCTGGCAAGAAGGTACGCCAACCGTGACGATCGCTTTCATTGTTTTGCGACGCACCTACGAATTATATGGCCTCCTTTCACTTTCGCTATTTTGGGAAACTTGAATGGAAGAGCCGAGAGCTAGGAGGAACGCTGTTTATAAAGCGTTAGGGAAGGACATTGGCACAGCAAAAGGGCTGGATGAACTGCACTGGGCAAGGGAACGTCAGGAGGAGATGTGAATGGAGTTACTGACTAGTATTTCTCCAGGTTGTGATCATCCAGCCCGTCGACCAAGGCACCAAGAGCCACCCCTACGGCCACGCCCTTGTTGCGGGCATCGAGCGGTACCCCAGCAAGATCACCCGCCGCATGTCTAAGGCTCGGATCGAGAAGCGCAGCAAGATCAAGCCTTTCATTAAGGTCATCAACTACAACCACCTGATGCCCACTCGCTACACCCTTGAGCTTGAGGGCCTCAAGGCTGTCATCAACGCCGACACCTTCAAGGAGCCCAGCCAGCGTGAGGAGGCCAAGAAGACCGTCAAGAAGGTCCTTGAGGACCGCTACAACAGCGGCAAGAACCGGTGGTTTTTCACTCCTCTGCGTACGTCGACCCTCGACGGAATATTTGGTAGATTGGGCAAAGCCAGATGTACTGACCTCTATCGCTAGGTTTCTGATTGGTTTCCTTTAAATTGGCTGGTCTGGGCGAACGGTATTTTTCTCGGGCTGTACACAGCGTCATCACGGAATAAAAAGATCTGAGGCTCACTAGCAGAACTTGGCGGCAATTCTCTGACGACACAGCTTCCCATCTGGCGTGACAAAGCGCCGATGCCTCATCCGAAGTTGTATGCTCCGCTACAGACTAAAGGTCGAGTCCCGAAACAAGGCAGAAGAGAGCACGGATGGAGCTCGGTGGTAATGAGTCCCTAGTGACCTGAATGATACCCCGGCCTGGAGAGTGCCTCCCCAAGTAGGACAACCAAGAAGTCTTGACAGAGGCCTACACTGTCCCTCCTGCTGGTGATACGTGTGTGTGTGCGTCAATGAGGCCATGTGCGACTTTGACGGTGTGTTGAGCGTTAACAACAGTCTAGTTTGTCCAAGTTCATAACAACTTTCCCTCAAAGGCATCCTGGCCAGGATCCATCACCCCTGAACTAACACGCCTTTTATTTGACAAAGCAAAGTCTATCTTCTCAACCCTCAAGCCTCGGATAACCCCGCCCTGTACCGTCATACTGTGTGCCAGCAAATCCGGGTCTCTCCGTCCATGAAACACTGTTCTATGAGATTGTCGAACAAGCATTTCCTCCTTTGTCTTCTCTTTTGGACGAGACATGCCAAAAACAGCTGGCTCAGCAAAACGTTGATAAAGAAGGGAAATTATGTACTGGAAAAGAAGACAAAGTGATTACTTATCACCTCCCACCACCTATCATGTCATGAGACCATTGTATCTGAAAATCCCCTTTTCTCTTCTGAAGCCATCTCGCGGGAAGTCCTTAAAACCGCCTTTTGTGTGGAGATGGGCTGGACAGAAGAAGCTGAAGAAACGACGTCGCTATTAAAAAAAACTGTTTACCAGGGAAAGGGAAAAAAACCATTAACTTTTTTTATCCCACCCCCACACAGATCATGACGGTCTTCGCTTCCCGTTCATACTAGTTGAATGATTCATTAACTCCACATCAACACCCAGACCAGTAAACCTGCCTAAGATTGCATAGCCCTCTCCTCATATCAGAGAAATAGACAGTGAGATATGTGAGAAGAACGGTTCAGTTTGAGAAGCCGATCTTGGCCTTCGCACCATCCAGGACTTTGGTAGTGTCAACGGATGGTGCATAGTCCGGAGAGATGCCGTTGAGCAGGACGACAAGCAGGAGCAGGACAAGAAGGATGACAGAGATGCGGCGCAGCACAGGACGGCGGTTGCTGAACTCGGCCCATTGGCGACCAGCCTCGGCGGCGTAGCCCTTGATAGCATCGTAGCCGAGCTTGTAGTAGATCATGCCGCACAGAGCGATTGAATAGCCGAAAAACTGCAGGGCCGTGACGGTCGTCCCGAAGAGGATGATGGAGGCGATGACCAGAAGGATATCCTTAAGCACACCGCACAGAGTGAGGACCAGGGAGGAGGTCTTGCCAATCTGTGAGGGATCCAAGTTAACAGGCCGCAGCGAGCGAACCGGCAGAACGAAAAGAACGTACCAAGAAGACGACCGACACGTTGAGCAAGAAGGCGCACAGGCCGTTGAGGAAGAAGATGATGAAGCCGACGTTGTAGACCTCAGCCATGGTGACCTTTGGCACCTCCCAGACGAGCGCAACGATACCGTTCATGACAGCACAAACTGGCGCAAAGTAGTAGAGAGAGACCAGAGGATCCATCTTGTACTCGGCCGAGCTGAGCAGGCGCTGGACCATAGTCAGGCGGAGCGCCTCGAAAATGATGCCGCAGATCTGGTAGATGAAGCCGATCCACACAAACTTAATCTCACCGATTGAGGCAATGATGACACCAATCACAATGGCCGACACGTTGAGGAACACTTTTAGGCTTGGCTGCGAAAGGCCCAACGACCAGCTGGAGAGCAGGACGGCAACAGGAGTTGTGGCCTAGTTTGCGTCGCATTAGAGCACTTTTCTCGCTATATCGCAGGTTGCTGAGTAGCACCAACCTTAAGCATCTGGATGAAAGCGACGCTGAGGTAGAGATAGGTGAGGTTGCCGCAGATCAAACTCAAGCTAAAGAAGAACCCGATGGGGACGATGGCACGCAGGTAGACGCGGCCCGTCATCTTAACTGTCTTCCGGCCATCGAGAAGCGTCGTGTACCGGGCCAGAAGCTGGGTCATGACCGTCGCGAAAGTCAGGTGGTAGGTGGTCAGAATGACTGGGTATTCTGCCCGAGAGTTCAGCATACTGTCCCCTATCCAAGATCTTATGAAAAGCGCCATGCTTACTGAATCCGAGGCTAGCGAGAATCCATTTGTTGAACAAGATAACGGATGAGCTCAGCGCGATCCAGACGCTATATAGCTGGTAGTTAGCCTGGAGCTGCTGGGAGACGCCGTTGGTGTCTGCCGCTGGCGGTCGATGCCATCGCTGCTGTTACTCACGTCACGTAAAAAGCAGGATGAAGTGAAGGCTTGGGAGGCTGCTGCTCGACGGCAGGGTTGACGGTGGGAAGAACGGGGCCATCCTGCTCCCGCGGATGGTCTCCCGAGGAGCGAGTTTTTTCTTCGAGCCCCATCTTCACAGATATTAAGTGGCAGAGGCGGTGGGCGGGAGTTTTCCAAGCAGACGCAAGGCTAGATGATAGTCAAAAATCGCGGTGCTGGAACCGGCAGCAAGGCTCGAAGACTAACAGCGCACACGAAACAAAGGAGGTCTCGGGGAAGGGGTGATGCGCAACACGACAGGGCTGGACGCTGAAAGGAGGGCGCGAAACTCTTAGTCTCTCTCGTTGTCGTTGCCGTACCGTAGCGACGTTGAACAGACCACGTAAACGAGCGGATGGTCAGAGTCAGCTGGGACCGACCGTAAGTTGAGAAAATCGACCACGGACTACAAGAAAAGAGGAGAAAGTGTGGGGTGGGAGGAGGATAATTAGTGTCGAGTTTGATCGAGCCGTGTTGCTGTCTCAACCTCTCTTCTTGTGTTGAGGGTTCCTGGCTGGGGGCGACGGCCGGGTCGACTTTTTCAGGGGGCTGCTCCGTTCTGGTCCTGGTCCTGGCCTCCTGGATCCCGTCCTGCCAGCGCAAACCAAGCGACCAGGGTGCCGCATTGTTGGCATCAGCCCGTGTGGTCTTGGCATCCAGGCTTGTGGCCAATCATCTTTTCTTCTGCATCTGGCTTTCCTGGTTGTGGAGAAGGTGCCCAGCAAGCGATATCTTTCACGTATCGTTACAAACCGGTACAGATCTCGGGGTTTGCTCCGTCAACACGAGGAGAAACGCAGACTATAAAGTTCTCAACCTGAACGGTTCGGCAGAAACGAACTTCGATATTTGACCATCAATATGACGCTATGAGAACAACATTTCCCTCTGTGACCTCGACTGGAAGTTGTCATCAAGACCAAACCCAATTCCTCCACTGGAAAAGGCAAATTTTCTGAAGAGTTGCGCCTTCACATCTGGTGGGCACGAGGTATGTGGCCTTAGACAGCCATATACTTCGGTTTGCTCACCTATAATCTATCGTCGATTACTTCCTATCGTTCTGAAATATTCGTTATTGAAACATGCAGAGAATAGCCGTGACAGCTTCCAGTATGGTCATGACTATGGGACAACCAACTTCTTCAACCACGCTGTGAGAAAACACCATCTCAATTCCTCTCACAGTCCCGCGGCTCGATATTCTAGCCTATAATTGGTGAACTAGAGACCCTATGCACTACCCTGATTTCAGTTTAAACCATCATAGCATCTCGGAAGAGCACCCAACCAAGCACATTACAAGCCATTTCGTGACACATTTTAGCAGGTCTTATCCGGAACAGAATCAAATAATCCAGCTGCATTCCAGGTCCCATCCTCATGTTTTCTTCAGGCTTAGAGCCGCATTGGATGCAGGGGACTGGTGATTTCGCGAGGGATCCCCAGAAACTCTGCAACCCAGTATCAGGCGTCTTGCCTACCACAAACTTTGCGAAACTTCCCTCTGGTGATTGCCAGGTAATCCAAGGGAGGCAAATCTTTCGACTACCTTAACACTAGAACTCCTCTAGACCTACGTAGTCGCACGCGTGTTCTGTGGACCAGCCCAATGGATCCACGAGTGAACCACAGGAGAGAACTTGAAACATAAAAAGCGGAAGGTTGAGTGCCGTTTTGTCTTATGTTATTTCAAAATCGTCACGACGTATGACTCCAAAAGGACTATTGTCACCAAGAGCTGGCCATGGTCTCACAACAATTCTTGTGGTTGGAATGTCCCACGCATGACTGTATGCCTCGATGGCGCCCGTCTTTTCTGCTGTGAGCCGGGGTCGAGGAGCACTTTCGGTTGTGGAACATTACATGACGAGTGCTAGGGTGGAATGTAGCAGGTTTTCGGATACCTTACATGATGTAGCAGCGCTTTCACGGTCTTGACACATGATTGTTCAATGTGTTTCGAGTCTTCCAAGTCTCGGACATACCGTTCCATTCCAACCATACCTACCGGCCGAAGAAACTGTCTTCGAAGGATGACAACCACGTTTTTGGGTTGTAGTTAAGCTCGACCCGTGCTCATCCACATTGGCTCCATCTACAATGAAGATCGCCGGAATCTTTTATCTGTTGGGATGTATGGTGACAGGCAAACAGGCTGCGGCTGCCCGGCTTTGCCGCTTGGGTTTGAAACAAGCATCGCCGGTCGGTTGACGTGCGGCTCGCCCCCGACTCACAAGTCCCAGCAAGCCCAGGTTTTGAGGCTCCCTTGTTGATGACATCCACACCTCCCACGGGAGTTGGTTACGCGGGTTGTTGATGACACCATACATCTTGAAATGCGCAAAGTGTAGCTACACGTGTATGGTGTACTTTTGTTGCAGATAAATCCTACGATCTGGTGGCCACGAATCCGATGTTTGTTGGCGGTCTCTGTCCAATCAGCTCCTTAAGCCATAAGATTGGATGAGATTGAAATTTGAGGGCAGCATCTGTGCTGACCGTCCACCCGTCCACAAGATCTGACGTTTCACCGCATAGGCAACTAGCCCTACACTACCTACCGAATGTATCTGGCTGTTACGTCGGAAGAGCAAACGGATTGATAAAAAGTTTCGAGTCTTTATGGTAGACGGCCTTCCTTCGACACCAGGAAAACTGCAACATCGAGAGAGGAGAGATCTCGTCGAGGTCGAAGTTGGTGATAGAAAGTAACAGGGTTCCGCCGCGCTTGGCGGGACAGTTAATGTGCAGACCCACATGCCAACCATTCTGAAATTGGAACAATTTTATCTTGCCCCTCCATCGCAACCCACCACCCCCTGGCCCCTTTTTTGTGGGGCTGGACAGCGGTCTAGCCTCTGGCAACCCCAAAACGACCACGCCAGGAGAGGGGATTGGAGGGGGTGCCGCCGCCATTCAACTGCAGAAGAGGCGTCGGGCCAAGTGGTTGTTCTTGGTTGTCCTTCTCGAGTTTCGCAACTGTTGACATTTTAACGCTGCCACCTTTCCCCAACTCTTCTCTCGCCATCCTTGCCTGCATCAACATACCTGCCTTCTAGACTTCTTCGACCTAGCTTAGCTACCCATGCCAACAATGGCGGATATGTAAGCTTGGATTCTCTCCCGCCAATTTCAACTTGACCGACCCCGAGTTCAGGCTGGCTGACTGTGAACCCGTAAAGCAATGTTGACGTTCTCGTTATTGGTGCTGGCCCAACTGGTTTGGGTGCGGCTAAGCGCCTTCAGCACATTGTATGTCTGCTCTGCCATGCTTTCGAACCGAGTTTGTTTACCAACCACTGTGTACTCGCCAACAGGACGGCCCTTCCTGGCTGATCGTGGATGCCAACGAGAAGGCTGGCGGCCTTGCTTCCACAGACGTTACTCCTGAGGGCTTTGTAAGTTCACCACTTACAGGTGTCTACACTAGCTCAACCGCTGACGATCATGCGCTTTCAGCTTTACGATGTCGGCGGCCACGTTATCTTTTCCCACTACAAGTACTTTGACGATTGTCTCGACGAGGCCCTGCCCAACAAAGAGGACTGGTACCACCACCAGCGCATTTCGTATGTGCGGTACAAGGGTCTCTGGGTCCCCTATCCCTTCCAGAACAACCTTTCGATGCTGCCCAAGGAGGACCAGGTGAAGTGCATCGAGGGTCTCATCGACGCCACTCTGGCTGCTCGTGTTGCGACCGACAAGCCCAAGGACTTCGATGAGTGGATTCTGCGGACATGCGGTGAGGGTGTCGCCAACATCTTTATGCGCCCTTACAACTACAAGGTTTGGGCGGTGCCCACGACCAAGGTACGGGATATACCCTCTAGCTGGCCTTTGTGATGCCCTTGCTCATGCTCCTTTCCAGATGCAATGCCAGTGGCTCGGCGAGCGTGTCGCTGCCCCTGACCTCAAGCTGGTCACTAAGAACATCATCCTCAACAAGGTTGCTGGTAACTGGGGTCCCAATGCCACCTTCAGGTTCCCGGCACGCGATGGTACCGGCGGTATCTGGATCGCTGTTGCGAACACCCTCCCGGAGGAGAAGAAGAGGTTCGGCAAGAAGGGCGAGGTTGTCAAGGTGGATGCTGAGAAGAAGATCGTCACGCTCGGCGATGGCACCACGGTCGGCTACGATAAGCTTATCAGCACGATGCCCGTCGATCACCTCGTTGAGAAGATGGGCAACGAGGAGCTGGTCAAGCTGTCCAAGGGCCTCTTCTACTCGTCGACCCACGTCATTGGCGTCGGTATTCGCGGCGAGCGTCCGGAGCGCATCGGTGACAAGTGCTGGGTAAGTGGTATTGGAAGAGCACATTCAAAAGCTGAAGGTCTGTCGCTAACTTTTACCGTCAGCTCTACTTCCCCGAGAACAATTGCCCCTTCTACCGTGCAACTATCTTTTCGAACTACTCGCCGTACAACCAGCCGCAGGCTGATGTCGAGCTTCCGACCAAGTATCTGGCCGATGGCAGTCCTGCGCCGAGCAGCGAGCCCAAGCCGGGCCCGTACTGGTCAATCATGCTTGAAGTGTCGCAGTCGCCGATGAAACCTGTCGACGAGGAGAACATCCTGAAGGAGTGCATCCAGGGTCTGATCAACACCGAGATGATCAAGCCCGATGACGAGATCGTTTCGACGTACCACCGCAAATTCGATCATGGCTACCCGACCCCGACTCTGGAGCGTGAAGGTGTGCTGAAGGAGCTCCTGCCCAAGCTTCAAGCTATGGACATCTGGTCTCGCGGTCGCTTTGGTAGCTGGCGGTACGAGGTCGGCAACCAGGACCACTCGTTTATGCTCGGTGTTGAGGCTGTTGACAACATTGTCAGCGGCGCTGTCGAACTGACCCTCAACTATCCTGATTTCGTCAACACCCGCCAGAACACGGAGCGTCGTCTGAACCAGAGCTTCTACAAGTCTGGTTCATCCTCTATTCCTTCTCGACCTGCTCCGAGTGCTTAAGTGAAGTCGTAGTCAGAGAACTGGTTTGGGCTATATTGGCATAAACTGAGTTGATTTGGGCCAGTTGGTAACCCAGGGATGTATGATCCCTGGTAGCTGGAACTCTAATGATCCGTTTAATCTTGAATGTTTTGCTTTCCAACGTTGGGGGTATTTGGGCATTTGTATGCAAAAAGACAACCGGATTTAATTGGCAAAAGGGAGGGGATGTCTGTCGGGAAGGTATAGAAAATCTTCCAGACCGGTTCCAACGTGCCCAAGTAGTGTAGTGGGGTTGCTGGCTGGTAAATGAGAAAGGCAGCGAAGTTTAGCTGCCTTTTAATTTATGGCTTCCATCTAGTGTATATCATTGATTTCGGAGATCGAGAGTCCGTCCGACCGGCTCCCTGACAGTCTGTAGCGGCCGACACGTTGGCCCTTTGCAACATGTCAGTCCATCCACCTCCCGAGCAGAGGTTAGTCATCTTGCGCTGCCTGTGAATGTAATGCTTTCCATGACTTTTTAGCGTCTCTTGTACCCTTCCCTGATTACTTAGGTGTTGGGAAAAACATGGTTGATTGGACGAGAAGAGATGGTTTTACGTGGGAGCAAGCGACTTACTAGGACATGACGTCAATGGCGCCTGCATCAGTCCATTCCTATTCGGCAAAAAGGCGGGAGCGGAAGGGCGGTGGTGGTGGAGTGTATTATGTAAGAAAATGGGTCGCGGTTTTGTGAGCTGGGCGATCTGTCGGTGGCCGTAAGGGGAAACGGAATGACAACATAACCTTACTTTTATGATATTAAGTAAATGTTGAATAGTTAGGTATACTCCTTTCAACGCGAGGCATTTTAATGAACTCTTTGAGACTTACGTTCCGCACTTACAAAGACTGCGCTGTCGCCGAGAGATTAGTCCCTCTTTGGAGGGAAGAATTTTGGGCTCAATGTCCCTGAAAGTATTTGTACGTACGGATCCCGAATGCGTGTAATACACCACATGTGTGGTTCCGATGAGTTGCACCAATCACGGCGAAGGGAAGGACAGCTGACACCCAGGCACACTCTGTGGATGGGGAAAACTTGCAAATCCGACTATCGGGGCGAAAACCCAACTGGACATCATCCACAGACGTTGAAAGTGCAGCGTCGAGCTCCTTGCAGCCGACGTCCATCCTACTTTTGTGGCTTGTGGCAAGGTTGACGTTGGGCTGGACAGCGGCTCAAGAGAGCAGCATTTACCCGCGAATTTACTTCATCTCCAAAGGGCGCAGAAAAGTCCTGCTGCATCAAAGAAGCCTGCTGTCATCATCACTCAGCGTAGGATTGCAAAGTGTAGTCAGCTCAAACGTGGAAGCTGACTTGAGAGCGCTGTCGACTCGAACACGTCTCTGATAGCCTGGAGGGGTCTGGGGACGGTGCCTTGATTCTTTTTATCCGTTCTTCATCAGTGCTTTCTGCTTGGACTTTGACGCCAGTCTTGCTCGGCGCTGGGCGCTGGGCTTCCACTATTGCACCTCCAGCTCCTAATTTTGCCCCTCCCTGCCAAAGAGGAGGCCCAAATCCAAGTTACCAAGAGGTCGTCGTGCCCTTCATTCGATCCCATCCATATCCGGGTTCTCATCCCGCCACCTTTTTCTCTCCGACTCGACCATATATCTCCATCTTTTTCAACAACCAAAAAGAGTGACTTGCTGCATCGCAACCCTGGTTCTGCAGGGGGCCCGCCACGCAGCAAGCAACAATCAGCAAGCATCCTAACGGCCGGTGCGCACCCCGGACACATAGCATAGCGCAGCGCATCATTATACTGCAAGCTGCAACACTACATACTCACCTTACCCACGTCCGCGACCAGGCTGCTGCACTAGCTACCTAGGTTCTCGCAAGCGACAAGCCCACTCTGCGATACAACAAGGCTAGACACGTCGACGCCGTTCGTCTCACCGAGAAAAAAAGTATTGGGGCTTGGGGGCAAAAATAAGAAATCAAAGAAGCGCAAAGGATCCTCGGCGACGCCCATCACAAAAGCCTCATCTTGGCGTGTCTGGGTCGTGGGCCCGCCACCTCCTGCTGTCCGCCCACCGCCCACTGATATTGCCGCTAAGTTTGCCGAAAGCGAATCGTTCGCCGACTTTCTGATCCCGACAATCTGGCTCTTCAGCCCTTTTCACTAGCTCTCCAGCCCTTCAGCCTTCCAACGTCCCGGCTCTCTGGCTCTTGGGCTCGTACACCCTGGACTTACGCGCGACTGCGGTCTAGCTTGATGGTCTGATGGGGCACTGAGCATGAGCACCACAAGAACATGCCAGAACCGCCGACAAGTTTGCGCGTGTGCTCAGCTTTGATACCCGAGACTGAGACTAAGTGAGCCAGTGAGCAAAAGTTTGCGAGTCCCAGCAGGGAGAGGAGAGACGGAAGGAAAGAAGAGACTGGGATCATCAGCCCAAGGAGTCCGTTCCTCTCCCTCGCGGTCCTTAGGCTTCGCGACGATGGACGATTCCCCGCTGCTCGACGACCAGCTTCTCGAGTCTCCGGCCCGCGTTTTCGAGCGCCTGCGCCAGATTCCCGGGTACACCTGGGACGAGTCGCGAGCCCCATACCATTCAACCTATGACAATTGGCACGTCTTTGGCTCCAGGCTCGTTGCCCCCGAACCGACTCGGTCTGCCACCAGCGGCAGCCATCATCATGGCAGCATTGCCTCTGCAGTTTCAGTCCATGCCTCGGGTTATCCTGTGACCCCTCCAGTTCCCCCTAGCTTTGTGCCACCATCAAGTCGCGGCTCTTCGACTGATCAACCACCTCCCCTTTTCATTGCGCACTCTGACTATCTCAACAGTCAGCGGCCCATCCCGACGAACAGCGATGATACCAATGTCGTGGAGCAACAGGTTATTGCCCGAGTATCGTACCATGTGCTGCGCGAGGAGAGGGCCTTTCACACCTTCAAAAGCCTCATCTCTAGTGTCGATCCCGAAGCTGAACACATCGTCAAACCGATCGATCTCATCCGCCTTCCGCAGCAGCCGGGCGACAGAGGCCCCGTCATCGTTGCGATCTACGAAAATCCCGGTCCGAACTACTTGTTCCAATGCTTGGACCTTGGGCCAGCCTGGTACTCAGCGGTGAAGCACTCTGGACGCTGGGAAGCTCGCCCGAAGCGACCCCCAAAGCTGGATGCCCCCCTCAGTTTGAAGACCTTTCTTGACTTTGCCATCGGTGCGGCCCAATGCCTGGAAGTCATCCACCATGGTCAGGGCGTGAGCCACGGCGAAGTACGGGGAGATGCCTTCCACTTTAACATCGAAACTGGCAAGGTCAAGCTCGTCAATTTCGGAGCTGGTCTTCGGTCGTTCGAGCACAGTCTCACGAGTACTGGCTGGTCGTCCCTCTCCAGAGAGCTGGGTGTTATGCATAAATTGCAGTACATTAGTCCCGAACAAACGGGCCGCACCACCGCCGAGCCGGATACTCGCACTGATATCTATTCATTAGGTATCGTTTTCTGGCGTCTTCTCACTCAGCAGATGGTTTTTCAAGGCGAGACTCCCCTTGATATTGTCCAGGCTGTTCTGAGTCGGAGGATACCGAATGTCACGGCGATACGGATCGATATCCCCGAAGTCATCGGAAGGATAATCCAAAAATGCACCGCCAAAAACATCGCAGACAGATATCATTCAGCTTCCGGGCTTCGTCACGACCTAGTCACAGTGCAGAAGATGCTTGGCAATGGGGAACTTGAAGGGCTTAAAGACTGGGCTATTGGAACACACGATGTCTCGTCGACTTTCCGGCTCCCGATAACTATGATTGGCCGCGAGCGCGAGAGAGACGAGCTTGTGAAGATCATTGAACGCGCTTCTCGGAGTCACCACGTTATTCGCAGCAGCATAATACACCACCATCATCACACAGACGGGACAGGCTACGCTGGCGATGTTTCTGACTCCTCGAGTGACTATACTAGGTCAAGCAGTAGATCAAACCGCCGCAGCGCTGGCTCCTTTTCGCAGTCAGATTCCAGGGCAAAGTTTGGTCAACATGCGTCACCACCAGCGACTGACTCCGGCGCACGGTCCATTGCGACAGTATCATCGGGTCACTCGATAACAAGGTTTCACCTTCCTCGTCCCTGGGATAAGAGTGCAACCGGGACTTTGGACGGCTCCGATGGCGTCGCCCCTGACATGGCGCGCTTCGGCAATGTAGCTGCTACCACCACAGACTCCTCGGCTGCCAGCCTGTCGCGGCATCTTAGCACAGCCAAGTTCAGGAAGCAGGGGCATTGTGAAGTGGTCTTGATCGAAGGCCCTGGTGGAGCTGGGAAGAGCTGTCTTGTCCAGTCAGTCATGGCAGATGCGCGGAGGAGGGGTTATTGTGCCACGGCCAAGTTTGACCGGGCTAGAAAGACACCATTTGAACCGCTACTTAAGCTGCTGTCATCTCTTTTCCGTCAAGTACAAGGAGAAAGAAATACGGATAGCCCGTTTCACCAGGCTCTCAGACAGTATGTGCGTCCTGTGTGGCCCATGCTGCACAAAGTTTTGGGCCTTCCAGAGTTCTTACTCCCACCCGTCGATCCGCATGCATCTCGTGGCTCCATCTCTGTCTCTCCAGGCCCGGCGGTCAACCTCGACAGGCGCGAGTCAGTTACACCTGACATCCTTCCACCGCCGTCTACTCCTAAAGCCTTCCCTGCACAGGCCGGTCAGAGCTCACGCGAATTCCTCCGGACTGGCACCTCCACGAAATCCAACCGGTTGATGACCACCTTCTTGGATGTACTGAGGCTATTTACACATCAGAAATTCATCTGTTTCTGCCTGGAAGACCTACACTATGCCGACGACGAGTCACTTGAGCTCATTAGCCAGATTGTCGCTGCCAAGCTCAAGATGGTGCTCATTTTAACCTATCGCCCCGAGGACATGTCGGCTGAGATTGTGCAAAGAATAGTTAGCCCTCCCAGGCCAGAGGAATCTCCTGGAAGATCTACGAGCACAAATATCACCAAAATCACACTTGCGCCGCTCTGTGAAGATGACATAGTGAGTTACGTCGCTGCCACACTCTCGTTACCTAAAGAAGAGGTGCAGCCGCTGGCCCTGGCAGTGAAGTCCAAGACGGCGGGCAACCCCTTTTACATTCGCGAGATGCTGAGTACAGCCCACGAGAAGAAGTGTATTTGGTATGACTATGCTACTGCCCAGTGGAAGTTCGACATGGACAAGCTCTTCAGTCAGTTTCAGGGCGAACAGGATTATCGCGTGCTTGACTGCGCGTTTATTACCCGCCGCCTGAGCGAGTTGCCTTCCGCATCCAGATGCATTCTGGCTTGGGCCGCTCTGCTAGGTCAGACATTTTCCTTCGACTTGATTTGCAAGTTGATGGAGGAAGGGCGTTATCTGGACGAGGATCCAAAGTCCCCTTGCGAAGCATTCAAGACGCCTGCTTCTCAGGAGGAAATGTTCGCCGGGCTTGATGCCGCCATCCAAGCCTTCATCATTGTTCCATCTGATCGAGACGATCTCTTCCGCTTCGCCCATGATCGCTATGTTCAGGCTGCGTCAGCACTCCGCGAGTGTAATGCCCGCAAGATGCACTTTGTGATCGCGCAGGTTCTTCTCCAGAATGGTTTGCATTATCTGGCCCCTAAAGACAGCGCAGCTGCCCACATTTGTGAGGCCATCGACATCATCAAAGCGAAGATTCCGCATCGCCAGCGCTTCCGCAAAGTCTTATTAGAGCATGCCCACGAGGCTACCGAGAGTGGTGCCCGCCCAACCGCCGCCAAGTACTATAACGCGGCCGTTGCCTTGCTCCAGCCGGATCCATGGAACGACGGGGGTGACACAGAAGATGTCTCCTACGAGGAGACCCTTCAGCTCTACTTGCAGGCCGCCGAATGTCAGCTATACATGGGCAATCAGGGCGCTGCCAGTGAGCTGCTCCAGACGGTCTTTGACCACGGGAGGACACCTCTTGATAAGGCACCTGCGTGGATACTCAAGTCACGCATTTTTACCCATAATGGCGATGAGGAGCAGGCACTCAACTCTCTGAGACAGTGCCTCAAAGAGCTGGACATTGTGCTGGATGAGCATCCTACCATGGAAAGATGTGATGAGGACTTTGAGCGTCTGGCGGCGAAAATTCAGGAAACGGATCGTCAGCTTATTCTTGACCCGCAGGGGACAGAGATACATGTTGATGATTATTCAATAGACTCGTCATTCCTGGCATCGCTCGGAGCAGTGCTAGCTGAAGCAGCAAGTGCGGGCTGGTGGACGGATTGTGCGGTCTTCTACCAGGTTTCCCTCTACATGGTTGACATGCACTTCCGTCGTGGCGCATATCCTCAGTCTGGCCTGGCATTTCTGTACATGGCCGTCATCGCCCTATCCCGCTTCAACAGGGTGCAACTTGCTGCGGATTTGTCGGCCATCTGCCTTGAGCTGTTGGATAGGTTCCGAGACCCTTACTCCTTGTCGCGTGGCTACATGATCTACGCCAACTTCGTTGGGCACATCCAGGATCCAATTGAGCTTTGGCTAGGTCAACTTGATGGCATTGTTGACTACGCTGCTGCAGCCAGCGATCGCATCTCAACCATCCTCAGTTTTGGCTTGGCCGCTCATCTCAAGTTTTTCGCCAGCGAGAATTGCTCCGATATCGAGGCTTTTTGTCAGTATGGCTGCGAAGAGATCCCCAACTGGCAACTTGACACTCGTGGCGGGACCCTCCTCATTGCCGTTCGTCAGGTTGCTCGCGCATTGCAGGGTAAGACGCGTTTCACGAGCCCTCTCGATGTCATGAGCGACGGAGAGCATGACTCGACAGCCTATAAGAACTGGCTTACCGACCGTACTCGCTACCGTGGCCGGGCGTTGATGTGGTATCAGACCATGGAGATGGTGCCGCTTTTTCTCTATGGCCATTACGATCGCGCCATTGAAGTCGGCAAGGCGTGTCTTGAGAGCGAGCACGTGCTGTGGTCGGCACGCAACACAAAGCTGGCTACATTTTTTTACGGTCTTGCACTAGCCGGTGCTGCCCTACGCCAGCAACAAGACCCGCGCTTGCGTGGCCAGGAAGAGGAATCGGTCAGCAGGGCCAAGGTTGAGGAAGTGGTTCGCCAGATTGAGGTGCTGAACTGCAAGCTCAAGGCATGGCAAATTGTCGACAAGGTCAACTACGCTGCGTGGTCGAAGTTGCTGGATGCACAAGTCTCCGAACTGCTTGGGCACCATGGAGCCGCCATCCGGCAGTACGAGCAAGCACTTGATCATGCCGCAGAGCATAACTTTACCTTTGAAGAGGCTCTCGGCAACTATCTTATGGCCAACATTTTCATCAGAAATGAGGCAAGACGATCGGCGCGCTCTGCACTGCGTGATGCAATTGCTTTGTTCCGTCAGTTCGGTGCCACAGGTATTGCTGACCGTATCGAAAGCGACCATAGCATTCTCTTACACGGCGCAGTCCGTAACTCCCGTACTGTCGATGTCGGGGTGCAGACAGATTTCTCTGCTGAGGCTCATTACCGTGCTGTCATCGACGCAGCCAGCGGAAGCATCGCGGACGACCATCACAGTCAGCACAGCTCCTTGTCTGATGCCGTCACAACCGACGAGCGCATGGCATCCTGGAAGGGCACGTTGCAGTCGTCTACTGCTGGCGCTGCCAGCTTGCCGGCGCTTGATATGATCGATATGCACGGCATTCTGCTCTCGTCACAGACTATTTCGTCTGTCCTACACGTCGACGAGCTGCTCAAGACCATGTGCGATGTGATCCTTAAGACATGCAGCGGCTCAGCAACCCTCGCAGCCATCATCGTGGCAGACGAAGAAGCCGAAGCGGGGACAACAGACTGTTGGTGTGTCGCTGCCAGCGGTGATCTGGAGAACGGAGCTAAGGCACACATCCCCCCTGTGCCGCTTAGCGATACCGATCTCGTCGCCGAGAACGTAGTGCTGTACACCACGCGCTTCCGGGAGGCCGTCTTCCTTCAAGACCTCATTGCTGACGAGCGCTTCAGCAACGTTGGTGAGGACTGGTTGCGCAAGAACCCTAGCAGCAAGGCAGTCATCTCAATTCCGATCCACAGCGCATCACAGCCACTGATCGGTGTCCTCTACCTGGAGGGTTTGCCGGGTTCGTTCACCGACCGCAATGTTAGCGTACTGCAGCTGCTGGTTAACCAGATCGGCATCAGCTACTCCAACGCGCTTGCCATGAAGGCTATTGAGAAGGTGTCAGCCGAGAATGTGTCCATGGTCGAGCTGCAGAAAAGGGCACTGGCCAAGGCCATCGAGGCCGAAGCGAAGGCCAAGAATGCTGAGGCCGAGGCCATCCGTAACGTCAAGCTAGCTGAGGACGCGACCAAGGCGAAGTCCATTTTCCTGGCCAATGTCTCGCACGAGTTGCGCACTCCCCTCAACGGCGTAATTGGTAACTCTGAGCTCTTGAGGGACAGTAACCTCAACAAGGAACAGCTCGAGATGGCTGACTCGATCCGGGTGTCTGCGGACCTGTTGCTGACAGTCATCAACGATATCCTGGACTTCTCGCGGATGGAGGCTGACAAGATGAAGCTTTACATCATTGCCTTCAATCCGGAAGAGATGGTTCGCGAAGTTGTCCGTGCTGTCTCGTACAGCAATCGCGAAAAGACTCGCAAGAACAATGTGCAGATCGTCAAGGACATCAACTTACCGCCCATGCTCATCTACGGCGATCCGATCCGTCTGCACCAAGTGCTTGGTAACCTGATTGGCAACAGCCTCAAGTTCACTGAGGATGGCACCATCACCATCGGCGCGCGCATCGACTCGGAGACTGAGGATAAGGCGACTCTGACGTTCTGGGTCAAGGATACCGGCATTGGTATCTCCCCCCAGCAACTCGAGAATCTGTTCCAGCCTTTCAGCCAGGCAGACGCTAGCACAGCGCGCAAATACGGAGGCAGCGGTCTTGGTTTGAGCATCTGCAAGTCACTGATCGAGACCATGATGAAGGGTACTATCCATTTAGAGAGCGAGGAAAACGTCGGCACCACTGCATGGTTCACCGTGACCTTTGAAAAAGCCCGACCTGAGGTCGTTGCAGGCGAAGAGAAGCCTCCGAGTCCCTCCGATACTCATTCACATCCTGCCCTGCCCGAAAGTCCCAGCAACACAGGTTACCACTCTCCATCCCCGTCCATCAGCAGTCACCCGCACTCCCCTGACCTCGGTGCCGTCCCTTCTCCAACCTTTGGCGCCCACGGCCCGCCCCCAGACCTCACCTGTATCCCCAAGTCCGAGTTGCGCATCTGCATCGCCGAAGACAACGCCATCAATGCCAAGATCGCCATGCAGTACATGCATCGGCTGGGCTATCCCAACGTGGACACGTACGAAAATGGTCTCGAAGCGGTCAAGGGGCTGCGCGAGAAGTCTCGCGAGGGCAAGCCCTACCACATTATCCTCATGGACGTGCAGATGCCCTTGCTGGACGGGTACGAGGCGACGCGCATGCTGCGGCAGGATGAAGATGAGAATGTCAGGAAGGTGTTGGTCATCGCCATGACGGCGTCAGCGATCCAGGGGGATAGGGAGAAGTGCCTTGCGGCGGGCATGGATGATTACCTGGCGAAGCCGGTTAGGAGCGAAGTGCTGAAGAGGAAGCTGGATGCGTATGTCACGCCCGAGGGGAGAAGGGCGTTATTGGGGTTGTCCCAAACTAGACCATCGACCCTTGGCCAGGGTCAGGGTCAGACGAAGGTTCAAGAGGTTAAGGAGAGCAAGAATAGCAACGAAGAAGACGAGAAATGAATTTAGGAAAGAGTCACTGTCTCCTAGTAAAGGGAGAGAGAAGGCTCAAAAACGAAAATAGGCGCAGAATACTGGGTCATCTGGGCTGTTGGCAGAAGGTCAAATGCTGCTTGTAAAAAAAAAAAAAAATGTGGTCTGGGTTTTTTGGTTGACTTGGCCGGTGTCTCATCACCATCATTATCGGGTGTTTTGGTCATGGAGCTGGAATGGCGCCTAAGGTTTTGCTTTTGGCATGACATGGCATCGTCACATCACATCATGGTGGTACCCCCGGGTTGGCCTGGTTTGGCTTCTGCGTAGATACGATACCATGCCTCATTTTTCCTTTGTGACGAGGGATACATGGGTTCTCTGGCTCGGGTATTATATACCACTTTTTGAATTCTCTTGGAGCAGGCACTTATGTCTTTAATCTGTGAATATATCTGTACTGGTTAACCTAATTACTCTTTCATCCCGGGATGCGTATCAATAGACTTGAAGCTAGTACTGTGCAAGGCATTTCTTAGCACTCAACAACGTAAGTGCTAAGTTCTTCACTTTTTTTCCTGCCTAGCTCGTGGGCTAGATGACACATGATATCAAAAAGTCAAGTTGATCTGGAACTATCATCGTACCTAATTTCCGTTATGTTGGGATTCAGAAAAGCATCAGTGATGCCCATGTTTGAAGGCGAACGTGATGTAAACAATGTTGCTATCTTCTCCAAGATATCCAAGCACTTATGTTTGACTGCCTAGACCTTGTTTTCTCTTGGCCAGCAACTTAAGTGATCAGCTACTCTCTTGTTATGTCATTTTGATATTCATAGTGATAATTCCGACACTCATCGCCGCGGTGGAGGAAAGTGCGTCAGGTGTTTGGTGGCCGGACGTTCACGAAGACGGCCAACAATCTTAGCTAGACCATTCTATAAACATTCATTCTAATCATCACTTTGGATACTGCCACTTAAGCGTTCCAGTAATTTACTCCATGATGTGATGCCAATATGTTCCCTTCGAAGTCTTCCGTTCACCAGCATCTCACTCATCTCTCTGACATCTCGCCCCGGATAACGCCCAAGCGATCCCCCCCCTCCCCCAACACAGACCGGGTATCTCCGAAGTAAGGCAACGTAATCTTCTCTGCCTATCACACGGAAGATTCCAGTCTAGATGACGTCGTCAGTCCTCCCGGAAACTTAGGGCTGGCGCAATATTGTGGCAGGTAGCAAGTCTGAGGAGTTTAATTGGGTGCTGCAGCAAACGCGATAATGGTTTCAGCTTGCCAATTGAGCATTGCTATCTCCACATGTTGCCTATCATCATAGATTTACAAGTCAACGGCTCAGTTGCCAAAAGATGGCTCATGATACAGCTCTTGTTCAACCTGTTACCGGCGTTGCTATGAGTACCTTGTTTGAGCTGATTGAAATCTCGTGACTGACTACCTAGGTGGCTTCGCTGAATTCATGACTCTTTACGTGTATTCTGCGAGACATTCACACGTCCTGCACGAGTGTTTCTGCTTCCAAAAAAAAAAGTCTTGGGCATTACATTTACAAACCGCTGCCTCGACCCAGGCCGAGCCATGAACGCATGCACAGCAGGGATGGCCAATTCATGTGGATCATATCAACGGATCTAGGAAATATGTCACTTCCGGTTCTTTCTGAGCTCGAAGTTACCATAAATACCTGGTTGGGTACATTTCGGTAGCCGAATGGAGTTCATGGAGTCTTTGCGATTCCTTGGTCCGGACCCTGGCCTAAGTTCAAAGCAAGCATGTCTGTCACAAGATCAAGGCTATGTTCTTCTCAGGTTGCAATTAAAGTTAATCACCATGTCCCCCATCACACCATCCGCAATGAGTCCCAAACACATCGACAGGATAAGCGATGTGTAAGAGCCGTACATGGCAGGCGTGTCGTAATCGGTTCCAGAGTTTGAGAATCTATGGTATTGGTAACCGGCCTGTCTTCCCAACCCCCGACGACGTGATGATGGGGGACCCCGCTGAGCTTAAGAACTGTACCGGGGATGTGGACCGTGCATGTTAATGTAACATAGCAAACTTGGGAATTATACTTACCTTGCTATCTACACCGGCTTGAATAAGTTGATGCCTAAGCCTTTGACATAGGCTACGGTTAAAGGGTCAGGGTTAGGTCTGGAGCGAGGATTTGGACATGGATAGCATCCATTTGGTCGAGACAAACCAGAATTTATTCCATTCACTGGTTTAATATCCTTTGGCCTCGTGGCTCCCTTGTTGCATCTCTAAGAGGGTGGACTTCGACGATGCAACAAGATGGGAGCAGCAAACAGGCAAGCGGACAGCCACAAATCAACCCAAAAGACTGCGGCAGTCATGGCAAAATGCAGCTTAAGACGGTTTTGTCGTACGTCCCAATAGGAGAACATCTGCAGGCTTCGGCGTCTGGGGTGACGGGCTGTTTCATGATATGCCATTTGCCTTGTGAAACTCCGACCCAGTCTTTGGCCATCACGGTGCTTCGGAACTCCGGCAAGGCTCTCCGCTCCCTCTATGGTGCTACCAGCTTCTTGCATCCGCACATTCAACCGATCAGCTAAGCGGTGAGAATGAATCGCAGCCAAGTTGAAATAGAGAAAGGCAGTTACCCACAAAGAAAGACCGCAAGGCCAGGTAATCCATATGGTAAGCTGTCACTACCCGTTTCCGCATCTTCAGACACGGTAAAGGAGAATACTGTGATACCAAACCACGTTTTACGTGCTACAATCCTGATTTTCTTCCATGAGCCTCATAAAACCTCAGTGGTTTTTACTAGAATGCATGTCATTGATGATTTTTGGCTTGCATTGTCCCAATGCTTCTCTTCAATCTAGAACTTTCGTGTCCATAGATGAGCCCGGACCAGAGGGAATAGCATTTCTATGCTGTATATTGAACACGGTAATAGCTTCATAATATCCTATGACATCAACCACTCAGTCCTAGTCAGCGTATCATTCATGAGGGTGTTTTGTTGCCAAGGCTGTTTACTGAGACGTCCAACCGCTTGTAGCCCAACCTGGTATTTGCTCACCTTGGGCAATGATCATTGAAGCCAGTCATTGAACGCGTAATTGCCGCGGCAGCTGATGCATAGCTCAACTTTGGAGACCCGAAAAAAATGGGATGGCCAGTCAGTTTTGCTGCAGCCATCGATCAGTAAATGCGGAATAGCGCAAGTCCGAGGTACAACAGAAGCGTATTGTACTACCATTTAGCTAACGTTCATGACTGATTTGTTTTTTATTGCCCATTGCTGGGCTCATAGAAAGAACCAGAGAGTAATGGTATGAGATATAGTGACCTCGGGCACTCACCTCAACCGTGAAGTTAGCATACTGCGAGCAGAATGCTCCTTTAACCTTGTTTCCCCAAGAGTACACTACCTAGAGGGAAAAGCAACAGCTAGCATATGTATAGCTGAAGCCTTGGACTTGGCCCACTGGCTTCAATCTGATATGCGCAAATACAATGTGCAATGCCAGAGTCCAGAGTCCAGACCGCTAGAGTACAACAACGGGATCAGCTGTGGAATATTGACATGAAAGGCAAGTTTTTGGTACCAATCATGTTTCCGAAGTAACTTTGGCCAACAATCGAGTCTACCACAATGGGGATATTTGGAAATGCATATTTCCGATGATGCCTAGCCGAGAGTGAGCGGAGCACCGAACTGGGACAAGTATATAACTTGACTTTGACCACAGCCACAACTCAGGGAACACATCTCAAGATAATTTTTGAATCACAACCACTTGTTAACATACCAGTGCCCTTGTGATATCAATAAAACCAATCTCATGCTGTGATAGTGTATTACGATGAAAGGGTGTGGGGTATTGTATCCTGGTTGGAGGTCAGAAGTTTTTGAAACTGAGGGAAGTTTGGCTATTACCCCTATAAGCTGATGTAAGTTAACCTCTAGCACTCATCAAACTTGTGTGAAGTGTTGTGATGGCGTCAGCTGGATGACTACTTGAGGGACACGTGAAGCCATTAGCTTGTAGCTCGCTTTCGAACTGGGCTGGTGGCATACCAGTGCGATGTGACTGCGCCCTGGTGGTGGGAGGAGAAAGATAGACATTGGTGTGAGGGAAATCACATGGACCTTTCACTGAAACTGTGTGGCTAAAGCCAATACAGAAACGATTTGGAGGAATCGACTTAATGAAACAGATATTGCGGATGATGAATGGCTTTCAAGTAGAGACTAGTCCGGCTCATGACAAGCTCCAGAAAATAAGATTTGAACTTTACTTCCGTTTAATAACACAACTATTGACATGGCCTTATATGGCTCTGGTTATTGTTGTACATAGGAGCCTATGGTGTAGGTGCATGTCAATACATCGTCGTAGCACCTCAGTGGCTTTCGTGAATGAAGGTTGCTTGCAGTGCCACAGACAGACCTGAGTATGGAGAGCAGCAGTTTGCTGGATCTATTGTCACAAGCCACTGAATATGTGTATCATTTTGGGATGTGGGTATGCGCGGAAGGTCAGCAAGTCATTTATCACACCAAGAGCGTGAAGCATGTACCAGTGACGGAAACTCAGCGAGGCACGCCAACCTATTGTGGTTCTTGAGACTCCTAGAAATAGAAGAAAAACTGTAGGATGATAGTTCGATGCACTCTCTTTGATTGGGAAGACATCATTTCTAACCAAACGCAATGGCAAGTGATTGAAATAATATACCGGCAAGTCAGTAGCGAGGATACATGGAATGGAGGATCTGTGTGCAAGAATGATAGGGCATAATGGAATTGCATGAGACACATTCTATGGCTCGCCCCCATGATTGAGTGGGAGGAACTCGGAATAATTGTTGTGCTGACTGGTTGCTACCCGACTTGGCGGGCAGGAAATGCAGAGTTTCGGACGTTCTTTGCGCCATAAGCTGCTAAGTTGAGGAGGCTTTTTTTCAGCTATCCGACATGCATTACTAACACCCATAAAAACTAAACAGACCTCAAAACAGAA